TTATATCCGACTCTACATACAACAGAAAATGAAATAACACAACACAACCAGAGTAATTCGATTCCAGCATCACAATCTCAAGCAGTTAAACCATCGTTTGGGTTCCTCCCATGTTAGGGTAAGATCTTCGAGATTAATAAAATAATAAAAATAATAATAAAACCTTGATTACAGCATGATACGACAAGATCTTTATAATTAGAATAAAAATTTCGATTGCTCTTCCTCGTTGCACTCCTCTAGCAATCGTTTAAGTGTGGGGGTGTGACGGCTAGCCATAACTTAGTTTTTTTTATATTTAATTATTAAATATGACGAACGGAGTGGGAACCTTCCTGATTTCCCACGATGAAAACGCATTCGAAATATAAACTTTGATAGTGGCCCGAGCCTGCGTACTCAAGCTTACAATCAACGCTCTATCCTGCTTTGTCCCACACGTATGTGTTGACAGGGGCCTACGATCATCGCGTATACATCGTGAAGTGTTATCACGCCGATAATGGAAGGGGACCATAAAAATGCAATCTATCTTTTTTTTTCCCACCGATTTTTAAGAAAATATCCGTAATATTAAATAGATTTTCATCAATTTTGTAAGCCATTATAATGCGCACCTTTTTGTCACCGAATAACCAATAAATAGAACAATAATGTATTTTATAATAAATCGTAAAAGGTTTGAATTTTTCTGAATGTTCATAATAGTCACTATGTATCGTCATAATTAATTAAGTTTAGTACAATTATGTATAAGTAATTATAAGCTATAGCGTTACTCTTGCTCTTAAAAGTGGCACTCCGAGAGCCATCTCTGGAGAAAAGGGCCCAAGTTAAAAAGGGACCGCCCTTTCTCTCTCTGAAAATTCACGCCCACAGACCAATAAAGAAATTCTGGATATGATTAGAAAATTTCCGACCAATACAAAATTTAGCCGTTATCGCTTCATGGGCCTGAGGAAAGGGATTTCCACCCAACCACCCACGGCTTATAAAAAGCTCTGTACAAGGCTGGAGAGGAAGTTAAGTGAAGTTAAGTTCAGTTCAGTCAGTTAAGTTAGAGGAAGTCAAGTTCAGATAGAGTAAGTGCGGAGTGAGCACCAGGAAGTCCGTAATAAGAAGTTTTTACTAGTGAGCGAGTCCCGGAGCAAGCATCAAATCACCCAACTATATTCAGAACATATAGAGAGAGAAAGAGGCCAAAGAGCAGAGAGAGAACGCAACATTAATAATAACTAAATTGATAAAATAAAAGTAAGTAAAATCTTAAACCTGGCTATCCTTTTCTTTCTTTAAGTAATCCGCCTTTCTTTTGGAAATTCATTAAGCGTGAGTCTGGTGAATTTCCATTAAAGTCCCTTAAGAACACATTAAGCGTGAGTCTGGTGTGTTCGTAATAACATTTGGTTATTACATTCCCCGTTAGCATACAGTTTTCTCAACGCAACAATATTGCTCGTCCCGGCTTGTGTGTTACACGATAGCCAAATCAGAGCAACCCTGAGTTTACGCTTGCTCCAAGCGTACCTGAGAGTGACCCCGACGTCACAACTATAGTAGTGATCAAAATACAATTTTCCTTTTTCAGGGTTTGTGTTGAGAAGTAAGGTTTTTGTGTTTTCCTTCATAGCGAGTTTGAAGTGTTTTTTCAAATCCGAGAAGGGCACTTTATCTAGATCGGTCGGCCTGCTACTTGCTGCTTGCTTAGCTTGTGCATCTGCAATGTCATTACCTGTGACTGCTGTGTGCGATGGTATCCAATAAATTTTAATACCTCCATTTTCGCCTTTCCGTTGTTGGAATTCAAAGTACTTATGTTTGATTTCGTATAGATATGGATTTGTCCTTACATTCAGGAGGGGATGTTGTAGATATTGGAGAATACTGAGCGAGTCACAGATAATGACATTGCAGGCATCGATGTTGTTGAGAGCTAAATCTAATCCATCTCTTATCGCAATACATTCAGCCGTGAACACTGAGGTTTTTTTATTCAAGCTTCTTTTAATTAAAATGTTCTCTTTTACATTAACGCATGCGGACCCTGTCGAAAGGGCTGTTTCGCTTTTACTGCCGTCAGTATAAAAAATGTTGGTATTGTAGGAATCTAAGTATTTACACATGTTGACTAAGTCATTGTGTTTGCAGTTTTTAAGTTTAGTTATTTTGCTGTGTGGAACTGGGTTCATGACAGTGTTGTAGTCGTGTATGTACATATTATAATTACGCGACTTTACCAAATTTTTAGACAGGGAGATTACGTTTTCAATACACGACTCATATAATCTTTTCTTTTTCCTTTTGTTTTTTCGATTTTGAGAATAGTACTTGTTAACGGTTTTGTTTACTAATAAATTTTCATTCGATAGAACTTTTGATATATAGATGTTGCATAAGAATTTGGCTCTTTCTTGAATGAGCGGGAGTTTAGTTTCGGCTAGCAGAATTTTTGTTGGAGTTGTTATACGAAATCCTAAGGCAAGTCTAATGGCATTATATTGAATTTTTTCTAATTTTTTTTGTTGGTCCTTGCGTTTTGGGTAGTACACATATAGGCCGTATTCGATTATAGATCTTACATAGCTTTTATATAACGTGAGAAGAGTTGCGGGGTCCGCTCCCATTTTTAGCGCTTAGCTGTATTAAATTACAGTATTTACAACGAAGCTACTATTGAATATTGATTACACAACAGGTAAGCTGCTAATTCATGTAAAATATAATGCACCGTGAGATATTCTGTTTAGCGTCATTAGTTTATGTAAAAAAATTTGCGTTAATATTATAGTGAAATATTAATGAAAAGTGTTGATCGATATTGTTTTCAATTAATTTTAATGTGTAGTTTTGGAGCGCATTTTGGAGAATATTTTTGCGTTTTAAGTTATACAAAGGAAACTGTATCTTCGAAGCCCCTTTTGAATACATTTTTCTATCTACTTTTGTTCAGCACTTTCTCCAACTTACCTTGTCTTTTCGTTTCAAAATGAAAACCAAAAATACACGTAATGAAATAGCATACTTGCTTTAGTTTTCACAATAAATTAAATTATTTTGGTTTTAATTTATTATAAATAACTGTTGCAAGGTTTCAATCATGGCCGAAATAACTGCAGCTGAGGATACATGGGCAATAAACTGCATTTTGTGTAATAAACCTTTGGCAGGAGAATCAACGAAACCTGTTTTATCAAGAGGAATCCTAAGTCTTATAAAAGCGAGTAAAGTTAGAGGACACAAGGTAGTTGAGATAGTTTTATCTGAGCGTGATAGAATAGTAGTACACACCTCTTGCTCTAAAATGTACGGTGCGAAAAATAGCTTAAAGTATAGCTCTCCAAAACCAAATAACCAACCAAGCACTTCGCTGTGTAATAAGGAATCGAAATTTGATTTTGCAAATAATTGCTTCTTTTGTACCGAACCGTTAGTAAAAAGTAGACTCAAAGTATCACATGTAATTCGCGACAGCTTCAAGGAGGGTTTATTGAAAAAATATGCAAATATAGATAGTGCACAAGCTAACAATTTTAAAAGTCGATTAGCGCTTGTTCCTTCTTTAGTTGAAGTTAAAGCTGGTTACCATAGAAAATGTATAAAGCATCCACCTTTTGAAATCTTTTGTCGCAAATCGTTGAATGAAAGTGTACCTAGTATTTTTAATGTCATAATTAATTATATTTCAAATAATGAAGATAAGGATCAGTTTTCTCTTCGCGATATTTTTAATGAGACTACAGATTACACAGAATCACCAAATTTGCTCATGCTAAAACATAAATTACAAGATCATTTTCAATCCGAATTTATTATTCCAATTTCAAATGAAGACGTTATTATTTCGCATATGTCTTTAGCGAAATCTTTACTTAGTCAGAATTTTTACAACAGTAGACAAGACACCGATGAACGAATAAAAGCGAAAACGAAATTTTAAAAAGCATCCGGTGCAATTCTAAAAAACGGTGTAAGAATACTTGTAGTTGCAAAAAGCACGGACTAAAATGTTGATTTTTCTGGCTATTGCAAAGGGGGATAGTTGCGAAAACCGGCAGAAAGTAATTGACCTGCCGGAAGATAATGAATGTGTTGATGGTGAAAATGACGCTTCCTTAGAATTAGTAGACCTAAGTAATATTGTCACTGCTACGCAAGATAATATTCATTACGATGTATCGATGATTGATGAATATTATTACAGTAGCGGCGAATTAGACTCGGATAACGACGAAAATATTTCACAAAATGCTCATCCACCTACTAAAAGAATTAAAAAAACAATTTAAAATTATTAGAGCGTTGATTATAACAATGAAATAGGTTTCAATTAACAAAATTGTAAAGTAATCGTTATATAATCAGTATTCTATTTATATATATAGTAAGCGATTGTGAATAAAACTGTTAAATTTATTACTAATTCCGTTCATACAAAAAGTATGAATGTCAAATTAGTTATACCTACTTTTGTCCTTTAACTTCTAAAAGGCATTGTAAAACAAAAGGTAGTCCTTTCCTAATGACTCACTTTCACTTTTACCTGATTGGAAATATATGATATTTCGTTACCAGCAGAAAATTAAGGCCCCGGTCCCGCATAGATACGTACACCTTGAATTATGGCTTTCGTAACAATATTGACAATTAATTATTCAAATTATTTCAGACCTATTTTTAGTGGATTACAATTACGCCACCTATACAATTCGGTAAGGATAATTAACTAAATTACATTTGTTTGTAAAAGGAAAATTGTCCTTATCAATCAATCATGACTTAAAATAAAATTAGAATTTCAGATAAAGCTTGAACATTTGTAGAAAATCAAAAGTTTTCTGTTGTAGAGTATATATAAATCATTTTCTACAAATTTCCTCTATAGCAGTCAAACGGATGCATCGTCTGCCAGACTGTAATGACATATGCACATATATATATATATATATATATAGAGCGTAGCGGTCACGTGGTTGTAAGAAAGAATGGGTTTAAAGGGAAATAGTTATCTTGCTACGTTTTTCTCTATGGCAAAAAATTACTTAAAACAAAGATTTCTTTATTGAGCTGATTTATCAATTGGAATATTTATATTCAAAACGGCAATAGTATAATATATCATTTAAATTTTTGAAAATAAAGTGTTTACTTTGCAGTTTCGAAATGAACGTTAAGGTTAAAGTAAATAAAAAGTTTAATGAAGAATTAGGCTCATCATTGAATAATCTAAAAGCAATTGAACACTTGCATATGAAACTACAGTATGACAAAACTAAAGTGGAGGAATTGGTTTGTCAACATTTTTAGTAATGATTTTGTCTGCAAGTAATAAGAAGTATGTGTTATATGTTTTCTTATTTTCTTCAGCTTTCATTAGCATCTTCTGAAGCACCATCTAAAATTCAAGAAGGTGTTGAAGAAGTTGATCTAATTGTTCATTGTATAGATGAAGTTAAAGAAAATTGTAAAATAACCTCCATGGAAATTGTTGAAAGACTTAGTCAAGAAAACAAAATATCAGAATTGCAGAATGTCATTGATGACATTTCTTATCTGGAACGATCGTCATTGTATTTGCAATTTGTTAAATTTATTGAAGATTTGAGGTAAATTCATATAAATAAAAATATTTTTATTTTATTCTTATATTTTATCAAGATATTATTATCTTCAGTTCTGAATTAGAAGTTTCTTTACAATCTGGAAATGATGAGGCTTCTATTTCTACATATTTAATTTTAAAAGAAACTCATCAGAGTCTGGAACCATCATCATGCATCAATTTGAAAAATTATGTGAAAGATACTTTAGAGTTTTGGTTTAAAGAAATTCATAACAAGATTGTTGGGTTTGTATAAAAAGATCGAATAATATTCTTCAGTTTAAATTAATTCATCAAATTGCTTAATTCAATATATGTTTCCACAGAGAATATAATGATGTGTTGGAAACTTTGAAATGGCCTTTTTGTGGTGTTAATGCAAATGCTATTAGTACACAAACTCCAGAATCTCTTGCTAGATTCCAAATTTTAACAGAATATTTATTTCACTTACAACTACCGTATCCTTTCTAACATTCAGATTTTATTGAAATTTAATATGGATTAGTTATTCCTTATGAAGTATTACAGAAATTGTTTGATTAAAACATTGTCATCTGGTATATCAATAAACTTTGCTCCAACGTGTTTACCAATTTCTTTGTTAGTTCGTCCATTAAAACAGAGATTTTTCTTTCACTTTACTGGTAATAAAAAAACAAACAGGAGAGATAAACCTGAATGGTTTTTCACACAAATTTTAACATGGATCAAAGATCATTCAGAATGGGTAAATAAATATGTTCAACCAATTGCTTATACAGCTGGTTTTAATAAAACAAATGGTAAAGTTGAGTTTATGAGAGCATTAGTACAGCTCGCAGTTGAAAAATTAAACTCTGAATTGAATGTTATTCAATTTGATGATTCACTGTTTACCCATGCAATTGATGAATCTCTTGGTTTTGAAAGAGAACTGAGAGAATCTTTATTCTATCCACTATCAGAACCTGCCACTGTTATTGTACTTACTCAAGGTCCAATTTTTATGAAGTGGCTTACAATGGAAAAGAAATGTAAAATTTCATTTACTTATAAAAATACACTTTTATGTTGTATCAGTTTTTGATAATTTTTTTATTTTATTTGTAGATGCTCTTGAAAATATGGATGCAATTTTGAGCTCTGATACTGTTTGGTCCAAACAATTCGGTTTCGCAGATGATTTGAAAGTAACTGAATGTGCAAGTTCATTCCTTATACTCTTGAGTGCAATATCTGACAGATACAATCATCTACCTCAACCTGGTCACAGATTGCAATTTTTAGATTTACAATTAGAATTAATAGATGATTGGAGAGTGAGATTACTACAGTTACTGCATGAAGACTACAAAGATCCTCTTTCATCTCTAATACCGTCTATTTTAAATACGTTATATCACGTGACAACTGTACTTCAAGATTTGGGTGCCACTGTTGTAAGTGAATAATGAACCAATTTCTTTGGTAATGGCTGATCATCAATAAGCATGTGAATAAAATAATCAATTTAATTTATAGCAATACTTACAATTGTATTTTTATAAAACACAATTTGAAAACGCTGAAACAGTAATGCATGAAAGCATAGAAAACTTTGTTATGGAAGAAAATGAAGGAGAAATTACTGTGTTTGATGAAGCTATAAGTCTACTTGAACGATTAGAAAAAAAGCTTCTTTCAGAAATATATGATTCAATATTTTCAGAAATAAAAGCTAAGAGTTGGATATACAGTAATGAAAAGTAAGTTTTTTATATTGAATCTGATTTATACCAAATTTACAAAAAAAAATTTAATTGTTTATATTTTAGATGGTTCGCTATGCAATCAGAAAAGGAAGTAGCATCGTTATCTGTAACTCCTAGTGGTTGTCCAATGTTTCAAGAAATTGTGAATAAATTACATGCTCTTAAAAACGCTTTAGCTTTACCATTATTTGAGCGATCATGGAAAAATTTGGCAAAACAGTTAGATCAAGTAAGCATTGTTCAAATTAAGTTTTATCCATTTTCGATTCTTATGATTCTGATTTATTATTAACAAATTTTGTACGTTCATAGCATTTATTTGACGAGCTTGTTCTCCGAAATCAATTTAACAATGGTGGTGCTGCTCAATTGCAATTTGACATCACAAGAAATTTACTCCCTCTTTTTGGTCTATACACAGATCAACCAGACTCCTATTTTCCACTGTAAGTAATTTTCCGAGTAATATCAACAAATCAAGGCTAATAGCAACTAATAATTTTTACCATTATTTTACCAAATATTAGACTCACGGAATCTTACACTTTGTTAAATATGTTACCTGGTTCAGCAATTCTTTTGTTGGAAGCTTTAGGAGAAGAAGAGGAAGAAAATATAACGAGAGTTTTGACAGATGTCAATATCTATCGACTAACACCGCGTACAGTGTGTAAAATTTTGAATTCCAGAATGGATATAAACCCCAGATGACAAAAACTGAAATCTCTTGAGATTGATTAAAAATATATTGCAATAATTTGTATAAATATTTTTTTATAAAATAAATAAAAATTATATATATATATATATATATATATATATATATATATATATATATATATATATATATACACACACACAGGGTGTCCCATTTTTACTTGCCTAGTAGAATATTTCAAAACTTGGCAAGGTAATCGAAAAATGTTTCAAACAAAAGTTGTATAGTTTGGAGAGGGTCAATTTATGATAACTTCAAACTTGACCTTGAACTTGAATTTCAAGGTTATTTGAAGGTCAATTTTATTTTTTTAAATGGAAACCACTATATTTTATCCCGGATTCAGAATGAGCGGGAAATTTTACATTCAAATATTGTCATATGTGTGGGATCCAAATCACCCCTCACCCTACCATCAAAGTCATTTCAAGGTCAACCTTACTGTTTGAATGGGAACCCTCATTTTTTGATGCAGATTTGAATTCATGACTATGGGGATGGGGTGGGGATCATTCAGACCCCAAAATATCCTATCATCTAAACTTACAATTTCACGTAGAATTCAAACCTGCGATGAACAATGAGGAGTCCTATTTAAAAAGTAAGACTGATTTTGAAATGACTTTGGGAATGGAGTGGGGGTGATTTGGATCCCACACATATTACAATATTTAAACGTAAAATTTTCCGCTCTATCCGAATCCGGGATAAAAAATAGGGGTTTCCATGAAAAAAATCAAGTTCAAAGTCAAGTTTGAGGTTATCTTAAGTTGACCCCCTCCGAACCATACAACTTTCGTTTGAAACATTTTTCGATTACCTTGCCAAGTTTTAGATATCCTATTGGGCAAGTTAAAATGGGACACCCTGTATGTGTAAAGTGATTATACACATTTTTTATGTACATATAATTTACAATTTCTACATATTTTAACATATTAAATTTATATTTCCATTATCGGCCCCTAATAATAATAATCTATTAAGAGGAAGAAGAGCCATAGTTGTTAGAACTCCCTTGAAAGCGTCATGTCGAAGTTTGGAGAAAGAGTAAGATGCACTAGCTTCGACTGTTGAATGTACGCCTATTTTGTTAGCCGTGGTTCCCGAAATGAGTTGTTGTTCATAAACTGCCATACAATGTATTGGTTCAGTCACACCCCTGCAAAGTAAGTCATTAATTTAATTAAGCTTTTTGATGGAAATCAGAAACTATAAATAGAATTTAAAATGTAAATCTACTTTAAATAAAACTTCAATTTGCCATCCATTGCACCCCATACAGCAATAGTTTGGTCAAGAGAAGAGCTGATGATTGTTGTTTCATTTAAAGTTTCTAATTGAAGTATCTAAAATGAGAAATTGCTATGAAATGATCAAATAGATGCAATCGGTAACTTTTTAAAACAAAATCAAAGATCAAAATAGTACATTCACCTCGCATTCGTGTCCTTTCCAAAAGGCAATTACTAAACCCGTGCGAATATCCAAGATGGTCAGGAAACCAGAAGCTTGACCAAGTGCGACCCAGTGGCCGCTCGGAGCTACCGCGATACACCTGACTAATCCAGTAGGGTTCATTGATACCTGTACAAAGTAATGATTAGTAATATTGTCACGAAACTTAATTTAACTAGATTGCTTATATAATTATTGCATTAACAAACCTTCATTTCATTAACGTATTGAAATATTCGACAATCAATAACTCTGAGTGTTATATCCGTAGTAGCAGCGAGAATTGTCGTGGACGGAGCTGGGCTAGCAACAAGTACGTTAACGGGTATAGGTCTTGGCGACTCCGGGCAGCCAAGAAAAGAGCCCATGAAAGGATCCCAACAGTGTACGGAACCGTCGCAGGATACAGTGTATCGAAGGGACTCTAAGAAAGTCAAGGCAAGTATAGACTTTTTATGGCCTGCGTAAGTGTACTGACACGATGAAACGACACTACCATCTCCCTGACTCCTCAAGCTCCACAATTTAACAGAGCGATCTCGAGCACCGCTCATAAAACTATTTTCATTGTCCAATACGTGCAAGCATCTTACACTATTACTATGGCCAGAGAACGTTTGCAACTTTATTTGCTTGATGTTGAATTTTGTATCTTTGTCAGATCGGCCAATTTCGTGCTCCCAGTAAGCTAACCAATTTCCCCGTAACTGGCGCCCAACTGATGAAAAAGGACTTGATTCACGAGTTGATGAATTCATTTCATTGTCAGTAGATTGCGGTTTGACTGTCATAAAGTCCTGAATTTTTATTTTATTGCCTATAGTCGAAACTTTGCCGAAGCCTTTTGCATTACAATCAAGAAATTTCTTATTTTCAGAAGCTGAAAATACAATATGCAATTATTAGCGAAACACAATTATATGTGATTTCAATTGGCACTTACGAGCACTAGAGGAAGCTGGAAACAGTAATTCTTGCTCGAATTCATGAAACAAGTCCCTTATAAGTTGGTAATTTTTTATCAAATCTTCCATTATTTCATCATTTAATAATCGGTAAAGTGCCACGTAAGTTTTGTGGGCAAGAGAAGCCGAAAAAACTTCTTTCAACTCTTCGAATGCCTAAAATTTTTGCAGGGTCAAATAAATAATTGCTAAATATGCCATATTGAATATTGTCTACCTTATGTTTCTTTGAATCGGGAGTAATTACGTCTTCCGTTATAGATGATGAGGCTGAATCAGTGAAAGCAGACTCTCCAGATTTCACTTCTCTTGAACTAATTACCAATTCATCGTCATTTTTTTCACATTTATCAGTGTTGAAAACTTTTTCAAAGGCCGAAAAGAATCGTTGAATAGGCATCGTCAGATGATTTTTAGCCATGGCGTTACCCAAACGCATAACTAACAAAAGAAGCGTTTCGAGATATTTATTGGCCATAACAAAACGAGCCATTGAACCGTTAGGAAAGCTGAATTTTGTCGTTGAAATAATTCGAATACTTGGTAACAAAATCGACTTAACAATCCCTTCGTTAATTACATCCATTAGAGACGAGTCAGTCAAACATGGAATGACATGAATAAGTAAAACAAAACATGAAATGAGTCCCCCTTCTAAATTTGGCGTGAGCTTACGCTTGCACTGAGCAACTAGTTCGGTTACATGAGAAAAATACTGCAAAACGATCGTGTGCTCACCATATAGACCTGCAAGTATTAACAGAAAATTACATTTTTGTAGAGTCCTCTGCAATAAATGGTTGCAATGTGATACTCACCAACAATAGAACTGAGGCACTCGAGTACCTTGGCCGCGTTAGCATCGCCCGATAGCCTGAGCCTGTTGGATTCGAAACTGTCCATCTTTTCGGAGCTTTCAAAGCTCGGTGCCAGATTTTCCTTGGAAAAGTAGCAAAGTGTTAGCATCCTCAATAGATTTCGAGAGAGATAACGAGATGTAAGTACAGGTCCAAGTCTGTGTGATAACCAAATCACCGACTCTGCACTCATTTCCGAGGCAGAACACTCGTTATAACTGAATCTTCTTTTTGTGTGTTCATCATCTCTGCTTGTATCCCTCCTGCTTGCTATCGGTGCCTCGTCTTCTTTTTGTACGTATACGAACGATGATTCAGGCTCGGTCGAACTACTTACTTCGTCTTGCACGATTCCAACACTAAAAAAATCACACGAATTGGAAAAGTTCTAATAAAATTAAAGTAAAAACAAAATTTTTTAATTTACTTAGACTCATATTTTGAAGCATTGCTGGTTTCAGTAAAAGAACTTGTAAAAGGCAAATCTTCGCTGGTAGTTGTGCTTCCTACTTTACAACAAATACTATTGAATTCCGGTACTGACTTACCAGCTGAAATATCCAAGCTTTTTGGTATTGGTATTATTGGTGATTTTGCGCTACTTGAAAATGGAGATTTTGCTTCGCTGGAAAAGTCTTCCATATCCAAGTTGAAATCAAAATTCAAACTCTGAGGCAGCTCGGCATTAGTGGATGGTACAAATGTATCCTCGGTTTCCATCACGAATACCTCTGCGAAAAGTTTAATTATAGTATGCAAATATATGCAAAACTAGTAAGATGAAGATATAAGCTCTTACCATCAGTTATTTCTGAAATAGCGTCATTTTTATTATGAACGTTGGTTTTCGGCTCATTCAAAGACAATAGAATATGCTCAGATTCTACAGAAGAATCTTCGTCGAGCGGTGAAAGAATCATGTCTACGTCACTATTGCTACCAGTAAAATCACAATCTCTAAAAATGATCATATAATATTGAACTTCATCAGACGAAAAATCAATTTTATGCGAAATGATTTTCTTACTTGAGAGTTCCTGCCTTGTCGAGATTTGAATTAAGAGATCCTGATAAATGATTCCTGTAGCCACCGACGGCTTCCACAACAGGCGTAATGAAATTTTCTAAGAAAACTTTCAAGCCCAGACGAACGATGAGTTTCAAGAGAAAACTTCTATGATACAATCTAACCGTCTTGAATTTCGTAACCAAATTTCCTGGCAACGAGCTTGCGAAAGATAATTTATCCATAAGTGAGCCTTTATCATACAAATTCATAATTGGAACTAAAAATATTTTGGCTGTTTCCCTTGGACCTAGTGCTCTGAAAAAAACATGTTTCAAAAAATTATGCACAACTGATGGTATGGACAGCTTCACAAGAAAAATATTACCTCGCAATAGGATCGAAAAGATGCCAAGCAGCAAGAACAGCATTCAAGGACTGTTCAAAAATCTGCTTAACGTGAGGAACTATCAGCTGAATACTTGTATCGGTAGCAATTCCAGTGTGTGGTAATAGCTTTTCTAATTCATTGGCTATCGTTTTCACTTTACACTCATTGATCTTACAAAGAAAAATGATCTTAGTCTTTTCCATATTTTCGTCGTCTTCCACGTTTTGCATCGCTTGATCGAGCTCGCGACACAAATCGTTATACTCTTGAATCATTTCAACAACTCCGTACAAATATTGTAAGTACTTCGATGATGGCAAAAGTAAGCCTGATAATACGGGCTGAAGGATTTGATGAGCTGACGGTGGTGGTAGTCCCATAAACGTGACTGTCGGATATTTGCAGATATTAGTCAAATCCGTAGGATTGTCGTTCGATTCAGTAAAATCAATGTTATAGCTTTTGGGTATTGCATCAATCTTCAATAGTAGCATAACCGCGCTTTGTATACATTTCGGCAATATATTCGACGAAGTTTTTATAAGATTCAAACTTGTATTGAGTCGACTGTCAAATGATATTTCCTCGACTTTCCATATTGCTCGAAACTTTTCCGCTAAAAATATTTCAACAATCAGACAACCGAGTATTTGCTGCTCCTTCAGTCTCGCGTTTGCTATGACCTGTTTCTGATTGAGAACACCTTCGCCGGGTGACATTTTCGGTTGATAAACGTTGTGACTGACTTTATTAATGAAAGCGTGAGTAGTTTCAACTTGAATCAACGCTGATGCTGGATTGTAGTCTTTCGGAAGAATGATTGGTTGTTCATTTGATTTCTCTTGTTTGCCATTATCGTCAATTAGAGGCAGTGAGCTTCGTGAACGACTCAACAGACGACTCAATGTTAAGGGTGATGATCTAGTGTTTGTTGTCGCAGTTGCTTGTACATCCTCTTCTTCATCGCCAGAACTGTGATGCTCATCGTTGCCAGTTTTGCCAATGGGTTCTTCAACACCTGTCGATAAAAAATTTTTTTTATTTTATAATGTATCCCTTTCAGAGACGATCTCATTGAAATATTTTGGTTTTACCTGATATCAATCGTTCGTCGTATGGGAAATTTCGTAACCTAGGAGGATTTTTACTCCAGTATGGAGATAAGACTAGTTTTTGTGGATGAGGACTTGTAAATAGTTGAACAACTCCAAAGTTGGAAAGATTTATGTGATTGTCTACAAGATGCAAACACACATTTTTCGATTTTACTGCAGCCATGCCCGAGAGTCTGTAAGAAAAATATCAAATTTTTATATGTTCATGTTAATTAAATTATTATAAAATGACAATATTGTACTTGTAACCAAAAGTTAGATCGATCCATTGATGTAGTCTTTCAGAAACGTAAGTACTTTCCAAAGCTTCGCGATGTTTTTCAATAAAATCTTCTGGAGATGTAGCCCAATTAGGTATTTCTAAATCGGGCAAATCTTCGTGTATGGACTTGAATACACTTGGGTCAGTGAAAAATTGTGGTATACATTCATCTGGAGTCCAATCATATAATCTCTGAATAGATGCAGGATATTCGCCAGGCACCCAAAGGGGTCTCACGTGCTTACATAAAATAGATCTCGAGTAACGTCTCGAAAGATAAGTGTAATATGTTATTTCTGACAATACATCCGATACGTGATAACCTACCTGCAAATATCATTTGTATCAAGCTAAAGCTAAAGTAAAAATATGATTACAATTTTATTGAAATACTTACTTCTGTTGATCCAGAATCGAAAGTGAGGTCAAGTTGTCTGTCACCTTTGTTCAATCTAAATTTTGATTTTGTGAAATCTCTCCAGTTTCCTCCACATCGAGAAGTAAAATCAGTTACCCAAGGCATTACATGGTGACAACTGGGATCACAATATCTTCTTCCAGCTAAATTATTCAAAGTAGTCAGATAATCGTAGTTGCTCAATTGGCCATGTACCCACATTTCACACAAATTAGTAATACTCTGATTTTTATTATTTTTTTCTTTAAACTTGTCACCAGATTTATTATTTTCTAATTCTGCTGGATGATCGATCACATGAAAATTATCATCTAGATTTGGTAATACCTACAAATAGGTTCAGTGGTTAACTGATCTACGATTGTAAAAATTATTGGTTGTAATATTTTTTCACAAACCCGTATGTTGAAATTATCCATTATTAATATATCACTAAGGGTAACATCACCCAATAGCAATCCACAATCATGCAAATCTCTAGACAATCGGAGAAGTTGATAAGTGAGAAATAATGGTTTTGCATAACTTACTGATATAGCAGCAGGACTGTATATAACACATCTAACGATCGAGAAGAATAGATTGTTTTAATATTACTGAGATACATTAGTATTTTGCAGGAATTATTGAATGCACTCACTCTCTGAGAGAATATTTAGCAGTTTGCTCATAAAAAATCACAAATGCAGATTCAGTTTCCATTGCTAATATAGCAGGTAATAGGTTGCAATGAGAACGATTAAGAATTGCCGGTTTGATAAGTGTCAAATTATTTTGTTGAAATTGAATAATGATACATCCATACATTCGACTAATTATGTCTTTCATTAACTCTATATCATTTGTAATTCCTATTGTATTATTTTGTTCTTTGCAATCTAAAGTGTTCCAAAGAGCTGAAAATCAAAATCAATATTAGTTGTAATAAAAGTATTTACTATAAATATTGTTATTAAATATATACCAAAATGTTTTTTAAAGAAATATTTCCACAGATTTTGATAATTTGTTTTAGCTACATAATGTGACACCTGTGAAAACGTCAATTCAGATCCTGCTTTAGAACTAGTTATTGAACATCTTTCTCTTGATAGAGTAAAAACATTGCGATGATTTTTTTTATAAACCTTGATATAAATTCTACTCCAATCAATACCTAACTCATCTAAAGAAGGTTGTGCTGCTATTTCATCGGGGTTGAATTGATCATGGGTAATGAAATGAATTGGATTGAGGTTTAGAAAACCAGCTAACCATTTCTTATGTACAGTAGCACAAATTTTTTCTTCCATGCATATTAAATACTTTTCTGGAATTTTCAACTCCTTTATCAAGACATCTATATATGAAGATTGATCTTTCATAATGTTACAACAATTTTAATTAGTTTAAGATGCTAAATGATAATACTATCGATATTTTTATATGCATTGTTTTATATTTTTCAATTGATATTCACTATCTATTTTATAAAAATCTCTGAAGCTGATTTTCATTGTTTTAGCTTTCAACTACTCAAATTATTGTTCACGAAAAGTTGGTATCTACCCACTAATGGACGTTATAATTATCGAAATTTCACAAATAAATCCAATGACACTAATACTTTTTTCTAAGAAAAATAAAAACTCAAAAAAAGAGCTATAAAAATCCACTTATTTTCACATAAAATATATACACCAATGATGACATTATGTCGCAGTTGTAACCACTATATTATAATTGATAGATTGATTTGCTGTGTTTGTAGGACACTACATATGTTGTATTCATCTCAGCTGCACTATCACTGTATATATATATATACATGTGTGGCAGTCTCATGGTTCGACCATCCCCACATCTAGAGGACTACGAAGATAGCCCCCGGGTTTTCACGGGAAATTGTTAGCCAAAAAAGGAAAACGGCATTAATTGCTCTAATTGTCCCTGATGTACGTGTTAATTTCCCATTTACGATTAATCAACGGGAAATAGGGGAAAATTGCATTTTCCGTTTACCTATTCACTAGCTGATTTCTCCAGAATTTATTATTCGATTTTTACGATTCAGGTCTTAAAATTAAGATAATAATTTCCCACGCCATCCCCTGTATTTAAATTAATGCTAAATATTATTAATTTTAAATAAAAATTCATAATAACATTGATGCCCCGAGTGGCGGGAAAACTGTTTCATTCCATATTTCTACGTTTCGTGGAGAAGCAGAGAGTATTATACATGAAGACTGTATAAGTATTATATCAATGAGTTAGTATTATACACGGCGTATAGACTTTAGTCGGTTTGAATCTTAAAGCTACATTTTTTATTATTTGCAGTTACGCATTCTGTTCCAGCAGAGACAAAAATATCTTTTAATAAATCTAGGAATTCTTGCAAACTTTCACACTGGCTTAGAAGGATTATTGACTTTGCGTAAAAATCTCAGTGATTATTTGTTTTTAAATAATTTCTTTCAATAAAGCAACGTATAACAAAATTAGCATCAAATTTGATTGCCGTTTTTACTGCCTGTACTGAATTCATAGTTATATTTTGTAAGCACATATCGATGTACTCGTCACAATTTTTGTTGTATAAAGCTATACTTAATCCTTCCATTATTTCTTTTGAATCGGCGTATATAACATTTGGAAAATAAATTATTTTCATATGTCGAAAAAGTTCTAATAAAAAGTAGCGTAAATCAAAATTATCTTCAGAACGATGATAAAATATTTAATTTGAAATAAATAAAAGTACCTAATACATTATTGCGGAAATATTTTCTCAGTGAAAAAGTATGAAACCGTATGTTCAAAATAAAAATGTAGAAATATTAAGATCAATTTTAAAAAAACATTATTTAGATATAATTATAAATTAGAAACTATATTAGAAAGCGAACAAGAAGTAACTAATTTGTTTTCGCGGTCTTCCTGTAATTACTTAATCGTATCGTGTAAACTTCAGTGATGATGGCAGCACTTGACGGTTTAGAGATGCGAGATGGTCTCATTGGTAGACTTGTGAATCTCATTGGTCGACTCGACGTTCATAAGAGAGCAGCACACTACTGCAGTAGCAGTAGTATAGTAGCAGTCATGGCTATTGGACTTAGATCAGTGAAAAGTGAATGGCAGTGAAGCAGCCTGACGGATATTCTAATTCAAAATAGTAAAATACTTTGTGGTTTTAAACAAGCTTTGATGATAGTTTCGGAGTTCTTGTAGTAATTCGCTTGTATTAATATTTCAAGCTAACAGACAAATCAATTCCTTTATCTTGTGGGGTGATCCGGCAAATATGCCTAAGAGAAAAAGCCAAGCCCTCATCGATTCCGACAGTAGCAAGAGTTCAGAAGAGAGCGGCTCTGATTTGGAAAATGTAATTATTTTTAAGTTTTTATTGTTATTACGATCTAGCTGATTATTCTGTTGATGATATTTTTCTGAACAAACACAAATTTCAAACCTAAAATGTTAGGTATTGCTTTTTGAATGTTACTAACATAACCTCTACCAATCTGTTTCTCGCATTACACATTGATCGATTACTACCTTTAGAATCAAAAAGTTTAAACATAAATAATTACATATTTTGATTCCATTTTTTAAATAAATTTTCAGGTATTACGTTAAATACCTAATATATATAGTATATATATATTTTTTTAATATAAATACAATCTTAAACATATAAAGTTAAGTTTGATCTATATTTTATACAAATTTTACTTTATACGAATTTTCAGTGATATTTTAATCTACTGAAATAATTTAAATTGACTATGATTCAATGGTTTAAAAATTATTAACACTCATACAAATTTACAGGACTTACTGTCCTTAGCTAAAAAGAAAAAAGGAAAGCCTAATAACGATGACTCGGAATCTGAAGATAGTAGTCAAACTAAAAAAGACAAAGTCTTTGACTCTGAAACATCTGACTCTGATGATGATTGGAATGCCAAAAGTGGGAAATCAAAGAAAAAGAAGTCATCGGGAAAAAGAAATAAAATGAAGATGTCAAAGTCCAGTAGTGGAGAAAGTGATGATGAAAGTGAAAAAGAGGAACCTGCAAAGGTTTCAGAACCAGAAGAAGGTATGTTTTGTATTTAAAGATTATTAGTTATTCTATTTGTATACAGCTTTATGAATTTTACATTAAACTACTTAATATTATAGGTGAAGTATCAGATTCCGATGATAGTGATTCAGATTCAAGTCAGGAAGAATTTAATGATGGATATGATGAAAATCTTATGGGCGATGCTGAAGATCAAGCTAGGCTGGCTCAAATGACTGAAAAAGAAAGAGAACAAGAAATTTTCAAACGTATAGAACAGCGAGATATTATGAGAACAAGGTTTGAAATTGAAAAGAAACTTAGAATGGCACGGAAGCAAGAAATGAAGAAACAAAAAGAGTTCAAAAAGAAAGAAAAAGGAGATGAGAAAAAGATTGATAGAGCTCCAGATCTTAAAGAAAGAAGTAAAGATCGTAAAAAGACAATTGAAGAAAAACAAGATAAAAAATCTAGTGCCATGGCTTTACTGAAGGCTAGACGTGAAGAAAAACGAGAAAGAGGTATTAATAAATATTTTGTTAATCAACTTCCATGATATTAAATTAATCCATAAAAATTGATTTATACTGATAATGTATAATTTTCAGAGGAAAAAGAAAAGCAGAAAATGGAAGAACAAAAACAACAATCAAAGGATGAGGAAGAAGAACTTGAAGGAGATCATAAAGGTGGCTCTAAAACAAAATTGAAAGCTTCCGATATTTATTCGGATGATAGTGGTTCTTCAGATAGTGATGAAGATGAAGAGCCTAACAAGTCAGTATCAAGACAAAGATCTTCGTCTAGTTCTTCCAGAGACTCTGACTCTGACACAGATAAAAAGTATTTAAATAATTTTTTAACTAAAACAATCTTACAAAAGAATAATTATTAATTTACTTTTATCTTATTACAGATCTACCGTAAGTAAGTCTAAGAAAGTAATTTATGTTAATACAAAAGAAGAATTAAACAAAATACGATTATCACGTCACAAAATGGAACGTTTCGTACATCTTCCGTTCTTTGAAAGAATTGCCCAAGGATGTTTTGTAAGAATAGGTATTGGAAATAATAATGGTAGACCAGTGTACAGAGTAGCAGAAATAAGTGGCGTATGTGAGACTGGTAAAATCTATCAGTTAGGTAGTACGAGAACAAATAAAGGCCTTAAATTACGCCATGGAGCTCAGGAACGAGTATTCAGACTAGAATTCGTTTCAAATCAAGAATTTACTGAATCAGAATTTTTCAAATGGAAAGAAACTTGCTCTTTGCAAGGAATATCTATGCCTACCTCAGATGAAGTTGATCAAAAACTAAAAGACATCAAGGAAGCAATGGTGTACGAATTCAAAGAAGAAGATATCGAAAAAATTGTAAGGGAAAAAGTGCGATTTAAAGGAACACCGTACAATTATGCGATGAAAAAAGCTCAGTTAATGCGTGAAAGGGATGCTGCTAATTGTAGAGGAGATGACGAAACGGCTAGTCGATTGAATGTAGAAATTAGCGAACTCGAAGAACGAGCTTCTGATCTGGATAAAAAACGCTCTGCCACTATCTCAAGTATATCATATATTAATGATAGAAATCGAAAAAAAAATGTAGAAGAGGCAGAGAAAGCAATTTTGGTGAGCATTGAATTTCCAAATCTTCATTTTAATTTATCACAAACATCAATACAATGTCAAAAAATGTTCGATAATTGATTCTTTTACAGGAAGAAATAAAAGCTAACAAAGGCAAAGTAACTGATGATCCTTTTACTCGACGTAGTACAAGACCGAAAATGTTTTCCCAAAAAGAGGAAGACACTTCAAAAGATGAACCTGCCAAGACTACTCTACCCACGGAAACCATCTTAACACCATCCATTAAAAAAGAAGAATCTCCTCCTGACTCTAAGAAGAAGCAGACAACAGACCTATTTAATGCTCATAATTTTGATATTATGATTGATCTAGAAGTTCCCATAACAAGTAAGTAATAATTATTATTTCTTATTTTGGCAAAACTGATATTTGCCGAGGAAAATGGCTTATCTGTCTTTTCAATAGACATTAATGTTGTTTATCATTGTTTCTTTTGCAGATAACACAGTAAATGTACTTCCTAAACCAATTACCAGTATAAAAGATTCAGGACCACGAAGGTCTTTAAATTTGGAGGACTACAAGAAAAAACGGGGTTTAATATAATGATTATGAAGTACTAGAAATAAAATGAAATGTGGCTCAATGGATTATAGTTACATAAATTAAGGACTATTTGTTACGTTAAGTATAAAAACGTGATTGAAATAAATACGATGGCATGATTATGCCACGACTTAACACCTCAACAAATCTATGAGGTTCTTGTATTTTGCTTTTGCAATATAATATTTCTATCCAACTTAATCCAAGGCACATAATTGGTACAATTACATCAGGTAAAAATTTCATGAAAAAGTGTACAGTTCGCGTTACAAATCGTTACTGAGAATCTGTAATAACATTTATTTTATTATGCATGAAAAAAAATCGTTTTTTTTTAAATGTAATTTTTATTTGAAATATTAGACATAACAACTGTATAACACTTGCGAATAATTTTTGTGAATGACACCGTTGGATAATTTAGAAACATATGTTAAATTTAATGATATGATTGTCATGTTTTGTGAATATTTGAAGCTAAAATAAATTATTTATATTATATAACCTGAAGTTTATAACTTCAAAATGCAGGCGCACCTTATTTTAGATCCGATGATAATGTATCATTAATACTTTCTTGTACAATTTTTTTAACATTAGTTTGACATTATGATTTTACGCTCGCTTTGTCAAAAGTTTACGTTTTTTTAAGATTAATAAAAATAAAATATTGTTAATTTAAATTCCGTAAAGTAATAAAAAAACTCACATATGACACCAAAAGAGATTAAGTTTATATATAACAGATTTTATAATTCCTCTAAGCATCAGTGAAGCCTATGGTTTCAAAATATGATGTTTTATAAGAAATTGAAGTGACTATTAGAATAAAAATATATATAGTACTAATGATAGTTTGAATGCAAATATGCCAGACAAACTTTCTTTTATAATATAACTGCGAGATTTTAGAGTATGATTGTTTTGCCAATTTGACAAATTTCCAAAAATTTTATCTCGTTATAAACCTGCATTTTGAAAGCTCTATTTCTGAATTATTACAATTTTTAAATATGTAAAATGAAATTAATTTTAGTCTATCAATTAACTAGGTAATTCTGAGTGACATTGTAAAAGAATGGAGTTAATTTCGAAAAAATTTCTATTTAAACAATTTCAGATGGTGATAATAAGAAACATCACAATTTTAGAATAATGTAGTTACAAATTTTTGAAATCAACTCTGTTTTTACTCAAATTACTAACATTGAAACAAGTTATCATTATCTATTCTTAAGGGAAAGCACGTTATCTCTTGTCAAATAGTTTGTAATGATTTGATGACATTCTTTACGTAGTATTTTGTAATAAGTTACGTAATTAAAATACGGAATTGTTAGAATGGAATGTGAAGTTTCGGACTGATCATTGTAAATTAGATAAATTAGTTTTATAGAACTAGGTTTTTTTTCTGAAGAAACATTGCTATAATACTACAATGTACATAAAATGTATATTTCGTACATATTTACGATTGTAAATAACGATATCATGTTCAAAATACAATGCTGAATGTAAGTAACCTGTGAAATTTCATTATTCATCCATAAAGTAGAATGTAAAGCAGCTCATTGTATGACATCTTTTTAGCATACATAAATAAAATAAAAAATGATTGAAAAATTTATTTTTTTTAATTTGTAATTTCTTTAAGTATAAGTATTATATAAATGTTAATACTGTTCATTTTTGGATATTTATCAGATTTGTAATGTAATTTTCCAAGGATTCTTTTCTATCTTTTATAATAATTATTTCATACTATCTTGACTCGTCGAGTTTGTAAATTTGATCAACCATATAAAATATTTTTGTTCAAACTAAAATGAGTTCGATGTAAAGGTATTAAATGTTTGAATAGATCGATGTATCATAAGTAGCTATGTTATCCACCTTTTGTTTTTCCTTCGAAATTTACAAACTTTGAAATCGATATATAGAAGTTGCATAATATCCAAGTTTCATGCTCGATCCGAATTGAAAAATGTAGTAAAATACAGAAGAAAATGCGAGCAAGCGAGCAATACGGGTGGGTAGGGTGCAGCAGCAGCCCCTCTCTCTCTCTCTTTCTTACTCTGTCTTTCTCTGCGGGGTGTATGCCACTGCCCATATAAGGCAATTTCCCCACGTCCTTAACGCCTATTGGCTGAGCCGACGGAGTCGATGACATGTACTCTACGTTCCGCCGAAACATACCTACTATGTGCTGCTGCTGTTCTCCCCCGCCGCGCTTGCACGCACGGTACCTACAGCTTATCTCAGCTGCTGCCCCGCCGTTTCAAATATATGTAAGCCGGCATCCTCGTACACACGTCAAGCCGCGTTCATTAACGTTTTAACTTCACTCTATGATTCATTGTTCTGCTCGCTTGTCTGATTTTTCAATTATGGCTGTATATGGTATATAGTTTCAATTATGGTCGTATATGGCCAAAATTAATGCCTTTGCGTTTACAACAATGCACTTTTAGTTGTCGAAGCCGCCCCTATTCGCGTTATATATAGTTAATTATTGCAATAATTCATTATGTACTTATTCATACTTTTTTCACTTTGTCAATTATGAAAACCTAATCGATGTTGCAATATAATTTATAGAACCATGTAACATTTGATCACGTTTGAATGATGTATGAAAACAAAAACTCTCGTTTGCAGACAATTTGTTATTAATTAATCAATAGTATTTTTAATACGATACGATGAGTGATAATAGATTGAACAGTATTATTAATTATCTTTTTGCAAAATAGATTCAGTTATGGTATATTTTTACAGCCCAAAATTGTATCTTTACGTATGACAATCGTTAATCAATGTTTATTTCTATGCCTCCATTACTGCGAATAGTCATATTTCAAACAATAGCTGAAGGAATATCTAAATTGTTCACACAGGTGTTCGAATCACGATAGAGATAGTCATCGTTAGGAATTAATACAAACCGCGATTTGTTGTACTAAAATAGGGCAAATGCGCAACTTTCTGACATTTATCAAAGGTCTCGGTCAGATTCCTTTTTTTCTCGTGCAATTGGATATCCGCTCTTCGTTTCTCTTCGACTATAAGGCATCGCGTGTACCGATCTATATACCAATTTCTTAGTTCATTTTATAATCATATAATAATGACCTGATTAGAAAATGTTTCCAAAATCAATATTTGATACAATGTGTACGGAAAGGTTTATGATAATAATTAAGCGTTGCCCTAAAACATTGATTTTCAAACGAAACAACACTCCATAGATTTATTTTGTATTCATAGTTCTTCGTTGTAAGATAACAAAAATAAGATTTTTAAAGTAAGATGTGCATTTAATATATTCTAACAAAATTTGATAGATTTTGGCGAAGCTTTAGATGTAGAGTAATTTTACATTCTTTAACATAGATATTAGCTGTTGTAATTTACTAATAATGATTAAAAATGAACGTTTAAAATAAAAAAAAATGTCGTTCGTATGTAAATCGAGCTTTGGTTTGATTTTATTTAATTAGCGCGACTGACCGTCGAAGAACTTCTCGCGAAACCGTTTACGAAAACACGCAAATTCTCTGCTTCCGAATACTCGCGCGCATTACGCATCCAGCTTTGGTACTTTATAGTACTCATAGGTAAAACGACACGTTTTGTAAGTGTACAACATACAAGCAAGGAGACCTTCTATACATGGTTGCGCAGGTGTTCTTTTTTTGTATTAAATCAACACACTCACACAAGCTGAACATGCGCAATGTGAGTTTGCGCAAGAACGGCGGCAGCAGTATCGCTGCTCTAAACGGTCTTGAATCCTCGGCTGGCGCCTCCGTACGGGACAACACATGAACTGATCTGTTCTCTCTCGGCAGCCGCGAGTCTGATCGGTTGGTGTGGTGTGAGAGCAGATAGTGCCGCGCGCAGAGAAAGAGAGAGAGAGAGGAGAGACTTTAAGCCGCTCTGCTCTTCGTTTCGAGTTTTCAGTGTTCTGTGTGTGTTTTTGCAGCGAGCTCCGTCGAGTTTGTTCTTCGCCGGCTTTCATCTTAACGAACTTGCAGAGCAGATAGTACCAGCAGCTCAACATGGTAATTATCCGTAATAAGTAGAGGTAAGGACGAGGGATTGCCTGGGTGGAGTCTCCCTGAGTAAGCAGCGACGGCTCGCGAGTGAGCGCGACTTCTATTTCCGTCGGCGTCGCCGGGTAGCGGCGGCGGCGACTTTTGTGGTTAGAAACTACACAGTTCGCGGCAGCGAGACTATCTCCTCCGCCATTTTTCCTTGCCGGCAGCCGGCTGCAACGGAGCAGCGGCAGCTCCAGGACGCCCATCGGTGCACAGTCTCTTTGGCGAATGTGTAACAGTAGCGAGAGGGAGAAAATGGACGACGATGATTCATTCGGCGCCGCCGCCAAGCGCGTTCGTTATTCACGACGCCGAGAGAATTCGTTATTATCGACTACCTCGTCACCGACGCCTTTTCCCCCCGTAAAGCTACTCTCTGTCTCTGTCTGTTTCTCTTTCTCTGTTGCGGGGGGGCAGGATATGCGTGCGTGAGCGGCGTCCGCGCACTGCTACCTCGATTTCCTGCCTCGTGCCAACCGCCCGCGTCTCTTTCTCTCTCTCCTGCTTCCTGTCTTCTTACTTGCTCGTCGCTTATGTACATACGTATCCTACTCTTTCTCGCGGTGGTATTTGCTTTATTACTAAACTGCGATTTATAAATTATAATGTCGTCAATTAATGACATACGTACAACAGGTACCTTAAAACTTAAGATTCGTCGTAGTTGATTTAATTAGAATGAATTCGCGAGTGAGCGAGGTGATTCACTGACTCCATGATTCATGACTCGTTTTGGAGGTCAAGGTTTTACCTCTTAGCCGGCAATAATCATGCACCGAGAAAGACAAGGATAACTATTCTCTTAAGCCTATATAATCATGACAAGTTCCATTTCTTGTACATAATCGCATAAAAAATTGCAGAGCGAGAGAAAGCAAGTCAATGCTGCCGGTATCAGTAAGTAATAGCAATGGCAACGATGAGCAAGGGCACATCGAGTAAAGTACCTATTTTTTCAAGAATGTCGAACGCGGTCTCTCTCTCTCTCTCTCTCTCTCTCTCTCTCTCTCTCACTCTCTCTTTCTCACTCTCTCACTCTCTCTCTTTTTCTTTTTCAATTCAACTCTTGCGAGTATATATAAGTAAAGTGTACCCCTTTTTAATTAGCTTAATTTCAAGCAGCGTCGTCGTCGTCTGTGAACGATGCCCGCAGACACATACACATGCACACGCTCACACTGATTTAATCAGTGGAAGTATGAAAAAGAATGAATTGGGCCTGCTTTAATAGCTCCTTATTTGCAGTGTTACGTGTCTGTCCTGTCTGCATCGAACGCACTTAATCTCAAGACGAGAATAGCCTTTACAACGCCATTCACGGCGTTTATTCGTCGTACAAAAAAAGAAGAAACGGCCAATAACCGACACATTTGCTTCATTTTAAATCACCTTCGATTCTTTCTCTCTCTCTCTCTCTCTCGACTTGCTCTTTTCTGTTGACGAAAACAAAACGATTCTTTTTTTGCTCCCTCTCGATCTTATTATTAGACGCTGCACGTTTTTGGACGGATTTATGTGCGAGATCTAAGCTTGTGTATCGCGAGCTTTGAGGATCCATTAATTTTACCCCTCCCCCCCGCGTTACTCTATAGCTTCTACTGTTTTTGGAGACTATACACGCCCCATTAAAGAAAATTATTCGAATGCTCTCTCTCTGTTTTTTGAAAGAGAGCGCGTGTCTGAAATTTCGGTTACAAGTAATAACTCGATCGTGCACTCCGCCTAGATCAATTTTCCGCAATGTTTTATAATAAGTACACAGTGTGAATTCCACGTACAAGTGGCTCGCGCCAACAGCTTAGCTCTTCCAACGCAAATCGCGTCTCGCGCGTGTTACGCCATTCTCTTTATATATCTGCCTTGCGGTACTTTAGCTTAATTATTATTGTGCGACAGAAAAAAAAGAAAAGGCAATGAACGCCAATGATAGCTGGACACACATACCGGTGTTTACGATGGGACCAATATAGGAGTTGACAAGTAACAATTTAGTCGCAAAACTCCGCCTTCGCCCTCCGCAGATTCGTCACAGCGTATCTGTGTCCGTAGAGCAGACAGAGAACAGGTGCGGAAGAGAGAGAGAGAGAGAGAGAGAGAGAGAGAGAGAGAGAGAGAGAGAGAACCATGTGATAGTTGTGGTTGAGAAAGCCAAGAGAGTTTTGCCCCAGTGGTGGCTGTGGGGCGCCGGTCGCTCGCGCGAGAGAGATAAAAATAACATGACTTCCCACGCGCACGAATCCGATGCTAAAGAGAGGTTGCCGACGCTGAAAAGTTCTAAAGTTGTTCTCGCCTCGGGCACGTGCTCTGTCCTCCTCTCGACGCCGAATATTCCTCATCGGCCCTTGAACGAATCTTCCTCGAGCTTGCGACAGACGCGTTGCTTGCCGTGCTTCTTCCATCGCAGACAGCGCTGGTCGCGTATGCGAATGAGATCGCGTGCGTCATGACTCTCTCCCTGGTGCTGTTCTGGAAATACACATCCAACACGACGATGATGCTTAACTTATCCGAATTTATTCGGAGAACTCTGCCGCTTATCGTAGCCCTCACTTTCGCTAACTTTCAATCGGATCTGCCCTTGCCCCGAATGCTCGATAATCGATTGCACATGGTCGTCAAGAAAATCCAACATTTCGATTACCGGCTGCCACTTTTTGTCATCTCCTGCTCTGTTTCGAGTAAGTGTGCGAGCGAGAGAGAGAGCGAGCGGCTGCTCCGTTTCGTTACTCGTTCGCGCATCGCCGCCGTCGCAGCCATGTGGCGTGGCAAAAGGCACCGCGCGCTTCAGGACTGCGCCTTACGTAATCGGGCTCTTTCTGTTTCTTCGTGCTGCTACCAGTGCTTGACCTTTTCCCAAAACTACGCATCATCATTATGCCCACGAGTGAAATCTAATATTCCGCTTCATTGTCTTCTCCTCAACGCCGAGTAAATACTGCCGATATTTTTAGAACGTGTATCGGCGGCTAATGATTGTAGGGAGTTCCGTGGCCGAGTGAGTCGGTGTAAAGTTAGGCTAAAAATAAAAGTAATTAAAATTAATATGGACGCCGATTTTCAAAGCTTGCGTGTACTTTTAGCGAACACTGCCAAAAAACTTGCTGGCTTTGAACAATAAATCGACCTGTGTACTCGGCTATAAAACACGCCGATTCCACGTAAAGAGCCACTGAAGGAGAGATTCAACGTTGAATTTTTGCCTTACAGGCGTCCGGAGTAACCGTTGCGGATATCTGCAAGACGACGTACGAGGAGATCAAGAAAGATAAAAAGCATCGATACGTTATCTTCTACATCAAAGATGAGAAGCAGATCGACGTCGAGGTCATCGGGCCCCGTGACGCTTCCTATGACCAGTTCCTCGAGGATCTGCAAAAGGGCGGTGCTGGCGAATGCCGCTACGGCCTCTTTGACTTTGAGTACACTCATCAATGCCAGGGTACCTCCGAGGTAAATAAAAAAAACTAACGTTTTCAATATTTAATTCCATTAGCGCAGATTTTTTTATCGTACTTCTCATTGTAGGCTTCCAAGAAACAAAAGTTGTTCCTGATGTCGTGGTGCCCAGACACAGCCAAGGTCAAGAAGAAGATGTTGTACTCGAGTTCGTTCGACGCCTTGAAGAAGTCCCTGGTGGGCGTGCAAAAGTACATTCAGGCGACCGACCTTTCGGAGGCCTCCGAAGAAGCCGTCGAAGAGAAACTCCGAGCCACGGACAGGAACTAATAAGCGAGATATCACCACCGCAATAACAACAATCAATCAACAACAGCAACACTCAATATACATTGCAACCAATTTGATAAATATAATCATTAAAAGATTTTCAACACTAAAGGGGCTATAATGCACAAACTATCCCCTTCCTCAGACAAACAAACAAAACAAAACAAAAACGAATTGAAAAAAAAGAAAATGTTTCTGTACCATTTCATATGAGAGTTCGTGTTTTTACATGTTTTTCACTTTTGGAAAACGTTTATATCTCAATAAACTAAGGGAGGGAGTACGTCGTGTACGTTTGCGGATGAGATATATTATTAATGAAGTAATGCAGTCACATTTGTATTGCTCATCGCTACTCGTGTCAAACTTAAGTTTTAATCAATATATTGCTAATCTAATGTAATAATAAGAACTACAAAAAATGATTGTAATAACAGCGTACGAATGATACATAATCTGTTGAGATTTGTAGAGAAAAAGAACAAAGCGAAACAATTGATTTTTTATCACTGGCTGTACAATGTTTAAATTTACAACAAAATCCAATTTCATTATTATTTTTTGACGCGTGTTTGTCGGTGTTGGTGCGATTTCCTCGTCATAACCGCTCAAAGTAACTGCTAAGCCTGAACTTATCGGCTATTTTTTCAAGTACGTGCGTATTTGAAGGTAACTGAAGTAAAAAAGAATGTAGACGGCTTTTATCATTTAAATATCAATAATGAAATATTTCCTTCCTAATTTTGTGAAATTTTGATTTTGTGTATCCCCTTCATATATTCTATCGTAATTATTTTATCAAATCTTTCAATCTTTTTCAAATTAAAATATTTGTGTATTTATTACTTAAATTTATTACTAATTTCATTTTTTTATTGGGAAACGCAGTCAATTATGTGATTATTAATGGTCTAAAGAAAGGTGTTTTAAAAACATACTTTTTATTCATATAGTTTCAACAACTTGACTAATCTATTTCATTTTAATAAGTTGGACTGAGATTTCATTATAATTAAGTAAAAATACATGACAGCGATGTCTTGTTATAAATAACATAAAAATCCAATAAAAACTTAGCGAAGCGCGAACTTTATATTCCTGCCAGCATTCAAGTATTCAAGAGCTAAATAAAGATGAAAGGGGAGGCACGGAAATAACACTCAACGCCATCTGGTATGTTCAATGTCTACGTACAAAATGATTGACTAAAATTCATTAGTTGTTAACTATACAAACTCAGTTGCTTTCGCAAATCTTGAATTTCATATATATGGAATAATTAAATTACTTTTCTAGGTTAGTTTAATGTTGATATTTATTTTCTAAAGTAATACGATCAATGAAGTTCATTTATCATCTTGAGAGGTATATGGTTATACATTTGATTATACATTTTAAATATTTTAAGTCGTAAAAATTATCACTGACATTAAAATTTGTTTAAATTTTAATACTTTACTGTTTTGTAATTTTTTTCCCCAACAAGCTAATGCTAAAAATCAAAATTCAAAATTTTTTTCTATGATAAAGAAAATACTTAAAAATACGTTTGTATTAATAATTTATCTAAAATTCTTAAAATAAAATTTGAGTGCAAAGAGATTTTATTCTCTTATTCTTATTTCTTCTTTATCATCTTAAAAGAATGAGAAGTCGCCAACATATCTATCGTTGTGATTGGTTGAAATTAAGAAAAAGCGCGAAAATTGAAAATTTGAATTTTCGTATACTCAAAAATATTTTTTCTCCTATCCGCGCTTCTTATTTTGTTTATTATTTTTTTTATTTATCTATCTTAAAAAAATGATGAGTCACCGATATCGAGCATTGTAATTGGTTAATACTAATAAAGAGGGCGAAAATTTGAACTTTCATATACTTTGAAATATTTTAATATATATCTAGGAGTGCGAAATTTATATATTGCAGCAGCAAATTCAATTAATGAATAATTAGTAATAATGATAATTTGCAGAAATGAAAATATACCGTTAATAAATCGTTTTAAGAAAATAAGAGGTTATATTTTCAAATTACGCTGGAATAAGTAAGAATCAATAATTTTTATTAACATCTGTGAAATTAATAGCGTCGTCTTAAAAATGTGATTGGAAGAGAGAAAAAGTGATCACAACATAACGAAGAAAATTACATTTCTATTTTTTTATATGAGTAAAATGAGAGAATTTGACAAAATGAGAGAACATTCGATGTTGACATATATTACTGAAGTAGTATTATAATAGTGAGGCCGTAGAAAACAACTGCTACGAGTAAAGTTATGATTGTATGACACAAATAATAAATAATAGAAAAATAACAAAAGAGCGGGCGAAGCGCGCTTAATAACGCTAGTCGATGCAAACAAAGGATGAAAAGGTTTAAAATACAAAATGTAGCATTCAAATAGGAATCTGAAAAGTATAAGCCCGCAGTTAAGTGTTAGGACTTTACCGTAGTCAGCATAGTTCGGTCTTGGTTACGGTCATGAGACGAAATGGTGAATGTCGATCCGTATATCTCACTGGCTGGCTGTCGTGCAAAGTGTACAGCAGGGGCCAGCCAGAAGGAAAGCTACAGAAGCACTTTCTCCGTTAAGTGGCCGCAGCAGCTCGCATTCTTCTGGCAGGAGAGCAGCTCATAGTAAACAGAACAGTGAAGCAACAATAGTTCAAACAGTCAAGAAAGGCGAAGAAGACGAATAAGAGAAGTGGTAGAGTGAAGAGGAAGAGCGAGCGCTGAGCAGTAGTATAGTAAGGCAAAAGGAGTAATAGTGACTGCGTGGGTGCGGACGTCTATGGCTGGCTACTAGGACGCTGTGCGGACGACGTCGAAGTCGCACCACTGACTAAGTGCTGCTCTCTCTAGGTCTCTTTGTCGTTTGCTCGCTGGCGTAGCACATAACGGGAAGACGAAGACGACGACAAGTGGAACTGTCCACGAGTGAACCAAGTGTGCGACACGGCGGCGTTTGTTATTGCGTAGACATATCGATTTGATAGTTTCTCGCGGTCGATCGGCCACCGCCGCCGCGCTCTCTTCTCTCTCTCTCTCTCTCTCTCTCTCTCTCTCTCTCTCTCTCTCTCTCTCTCTCTCTCTCTCTCGCTCTCTCTCTCTCTCTCTCTCTCTCGCTCTCTCGCTCTCTCGCTCGCTCGCTCTCTCTCTCTTGCCTGGAATACGTCGAGTGTCCGTGTGTGTGAGGTTTCGACTGTGAGTGTAGTGCGCGGGGCTGGCATCGCCGCTACTGTAGTACTCTTTCTCTCTGTCGCTCTTCCGTTTTCATTTTCTCTCTTTCTCTCCGTCGCGCATTCTCTCGAGCTTTATCCGAGTAGTTGGTTACATTCGACTACGAAGACGGACGACGGCGACGAGGGGCAAGTGTTGTAATGGCTGCCGTATCATGAAATGAAGGTACCCTACAGCAGGCTATACACGTCCAGGATGGAGGAGAATTCAGCGCTAACTCAGGCGGTGCAGGCAGCCGCGCAGGCAGCTACGCAGAACCACCAGAATGGCCAGCCCTTTGCCGGCGTCAACGTTTCCCTGGCTAACAACAAGCACCAGCCCAGCAGCCAAGAACTTGATGCCGTTAATTCGGCTGTGGGCCAGCCCTGCGGTCAGGGCCAGCAGGGATCCAACAAAGATCAGAATCCCCAGTATACTATGCCCGGAGTGCTGCACTTCCTTCAGCATGAATGGGCCAGATTCGAGCTCGAGAGGTCGCAATGGGAGCTTGACCGGGCTGAGTTTCAGGTACTTACAATTGATTATATCTGTCACCAGCTGCTATATAACTCTCTCGCTTTCTCATTCCCTACTTCATTGACAATTCCATGATTCGACAGCAGGTAAACTTGCTTAATCAAACTTTATATTTTATTTTTTATTTACATTATTTACAGCTCAGCTCATATAATCTTTTAAAAGATAAAAATAATGTGCCAAAAATGTACCTGTTGTGCATTAGCCCAATCGCTATCAGAAAATGTAGACCAGATATATTGTGAAAATGAGTTATACAAGCAAAAATTCAATACAGCTTTTCTATTAATATTACTGCCAACAGCATATAAATAATGACTTATAAAACTATTAAAATTTCTTTTATATATGTTGGCGATATATGTAAAGCAATTTATTGACAGATAGTGTTCAATGATTGTTTCAGCAGTTTTTAATTTAGTTTATGATTTCATCCTTCAGATGTTTTACTTGTTGAAAAAAAAGCAATTGCACTCTTACCAAGCAGAGTCAAGAAAATTTATTGCAAATGACGTCATGCTTCTCTCGCAGCAGTGTGTTTCTAACAAGATCAAGTGCAGATTATCCTCTTATTTTAGTTTTGCTTCAAAAACAAATCACATAAGTAGTTCAATATTTTTATAGCTAGAGAGAAATAGGTTAATTTTGAAAATTGTTAAATAATTTTACAGTTTTATTTTGTTTTAGTATTGAGACATGGAATTGACTTATTCAATTTTTGAAGACTATCTTTATTAATACATAGAGGCTGTTTATAAAAAGAGTATTTTTTTATTGATTTTTTAGTTGGTAATTCAGCACTGTTACCTATTGACTATTAGCATTAAAGATAGTCAAAGCTATGCGAATCTTTACAAATGATGCAGTGAAAAATAAAGTAAAATAGAAATAGTCAATTACTTATTGTAGCACAAATGCTCGCGGGAATACGAACCTGAAAACTCAGTGCGCTCAGTTAAAAATAAACAAATGGATAAAACGGCGAGGTTGAAAATATTTACGCCAACTGCAAGCTTTGTAAAACGTGTGTTATTGTTATTTCGCATCGCGCAGTTATATACCGAAGCAACTAACAATTAAACGAGAGTAAGAGAGAAGCTTTTAATACTCAACGAGTGTGCATGCAGAATCGAAGGGATCCTCGCCGCTGTATGTGCACACGGCTGAATTGTTGACCTAGTATGTGCTTATGAAGCTTGTAGAGATGGTTAAAAGTACGTTACGCGTACACGTGCGCATGAAAAGCGTTCGGGCGAGCTCTCGCTGCCGACAGACGCGCGTTTCCATTTTATTTTTTTCACGACTGCAGGTGAAGATGACGGTGATTCTATTGCCGCCATGCCATTTCAAGCAGTGCAACGAGTTCTTTTAAAGATCTCATTGCTTCGCGGCAGCGCGTGCGCCTATTGATTCACCCTGGAGATCCGACGTGCATGCGTATCTTTGCAGCAGGCGCCTGGGCTGAGAAAAATCATTTTCCTTTAGCGACGCTCATGCGCCGTTTGCCGCGCCTGTACCTGCCATATCGGCGATAATTTATCTTCGACAAAAATAACAACGAGGCAACGAGCGGATCCATATAGCGTCGCCAAAGCAAGAAAGCAAGTGCGCGAGGGAGTTTAAATGAAGAGAATCTTTGTATGAGCGAAATGACATGTGCGCTTGAAGAACGCGCGAAATCCAAATATTGCATAGCCACGTTACGGTACTTTAGCCAGTTTTTTTTTTCTTTTTTTTTGCCGTTCGAGGATTCCTTGAACGCCTGCATTCTCTCTCTCTCTCTCTCTCACACACACACATACTTACAAACTCACTCACTCACTCGTGGTCATACATGCAGATGATCTCGTGACACTCAGCCAATTTCCTACAGCGACGACGAAACTCGCAATTGTTAGGTCTCTAACGGTTCGACGACGATGGGTTTGTTGCAGGCGAGAATAGCCTTCTTGCAGGGCGAACGCAAAGGACAAGAGAACCTCAAGACGGATCTGGTACGGCGCATCAAAATGCTCGAGTACGCGCTCAAGCAGGAAAGGTAATATTTTCTTTTTGCAAGTCTTTATCGCGTCAGTTGTTAGCGTTTCGTGTCCGTCGTGTGGCACGATAACTAAGGAAGATGAGTTGACTGCTTTGCTGGTCTGTTGTCAGATTACTATCTCCTGTATACAAAAGAGTACTGCTGCTGGGAGTGACCTGACAGCTCCTTTTTTTTTCTTTTTTCACCATTAATTTAGGACTGTTTATTTTTAGAGGAACAAACAGTACTTTTTGATGAGGGTAGGAGATAGTTATTGCCAGTTGTTTCGTATTTTGTGTAAACGTCAATCGCGATGAGAGACGACGTTTGTTTACAAAGCAGGCGATTTCATTTTTCCGGAGAGGCTTTGTACACGTTAATAGGAAAGTTGGTAGCAGCGGCTTCGGTTACGCCTTCTGCCCATAATGTTTATGCAGCTGTGGTAATGGTGAAATTCAAGCCTTGGAGTAATTAATTTCGTTCTTGCTCATGCTTGAAGTACAACGTCGACGCTGCTGAGCACTGTGATTTATTCTTTACCGTTTTAATACGATTCATTTTCTACCTTTAACTTTCCTTTTATTTAAAAATCGCGAAGAATTATTCCTTTTTTTCAAGCTTACCGTGTTTATCGGATTACAAACACCTAATTAAACTCAACCGTTCGAGCAATCAGCAACTTTCATTTTATATCTGGCGATAAATAAATTACTACGTTCGATTTTGATTTTGTAAGATCTCGAGCAACTCATTCTCGTGTTATATATTCAATATTTGCCAAGAGGATGATGAAAATAAACGAATATTAACAGCTTGTCAAACGAAGCGTCAATTGATCGTGGCGCGCGAAATTTCTAGGAACAGGTAAAAATAATTTGAAAAGGCTACGCTTTCTAAAATGTAATATCGCGGGTGAGTCAGTGTCTCGAAGCGATCGAACTGTAATGAAGCACCAAAGCGTCAAATCGAAGAAAAAGCAAAGCAGCCAACAGAGTGCAGAAAAGTATCGTGTAGATAGGAATGTAGTTGTAGCTGCAATTGGTAAATATCATTTATGTGTGTGCGCGTACGCGCGCGTGCGTGTGTGTTGCAGAGCGAAGTACCACAAATTAAAGTTCGGCACGGACTTGGTTATACAAGGGGATGGTAAGCCGGCTTATGAGGAGGGCAGTACTGGACCGGAAAGCGAAAGAGCAGATGGCGATGCTGACAGCGAGCTGCCATTCAGTATCAGTAACATTAGTTGGAAACAAGGCCGCGCGCTTCTAAGACAGTAAGACAACTACTAAAGCTGCTACTGCTATGCCCAATCTACGTTATCCACATGACCGCGAGCCACGGCTATGTACGTTTAAGGATGCGCTTGTACCGTTCGACGACTGGCCGCGTGTCGTCGCTTCTCCTCTTTTTTTATTTTTTTTAATCATCTTTCCGCCATCAATAGGTATTACTCTCTGCTGCGATCTGGAACGGACCTTTTTTTCTTGCCTTTCTCGCCTTTCTCGCGAACTATGCTTCCAAAAAGATTAATAGTGATCGCTTTCATTTTCCGGATTTTTTAAATTTATAACTTGATGGTCTTTTTTGCTTGTTGCGTCACCGTAAAAACCATTTTGCTTCTACGATCGAGCATTTCCGTGCTTTCGAATGACCTTGCCGATCAACTGAAAAAAAAAAACAAATAGTGAACAATTAAGCTTTTAAAGATAAAGATAACACTTAAGTCTTTTTATTATTGTCTCTTTATTTAACATGCTTACTTGATATCCCTATTTGCACGGCCAACCCTACAGCAAACAGTACTGAACGTTTTATACTCTTCCACAGGTATTTACAAGAAGTCGGTTACACCGATACAATAATAGATGTACGATCAAACAGGGTACGATCCCTGCTTGGTTTAAATAATAATGCAGACTCAGAAGATACAAATACTCCAGCTCTCAATGGCAACGAATCATCAAACAAACGCGCTAACGAATTTAAGAATACAAAATTTAAGACTTCTTCTCCAAGAAAAGAAGGGTACAAAGTGAGTCTTGCGAACAGCCATTTAGTTTTTATATCGTTTTAATTTTTATTTTGAATTAATTTTCCTCATTTCCACAGCAACAGCCGTCATCGATTGCCGAAGCTATGATTCTGGATACAGAAGCAGCTGTTATGGCGAATTTTGAATTCCTTGCCCACACAGATATTGACATGGAAGAAGATGAGAATGACGGTGAAGAGGAGATTTATGACTCAAACACAGACGCCAAGCAAAATAAAGTAAGAAAGTGTAAAGAAGAGTGGGGATAATTAGCTAAAATTTTATATTCACTTTTTCTTTTTCAACTATGGATGTCAAACTCGAAATGCTATCTGAATCGAAACTCAATAATTTTTTTCTTTTAAAAAGATCAAACGACATGCAAAAAAGTTGATAACGTTATATTATCAATGAATTTTTTGGCTAATTTACCCTGTACGCAAAGCAATTTGGTTGAAGATTTGGGGCATATTGGCCAACAACAAAGTGTTCAAAAAACAGAAAATAATGGTGCTATTGTTTTCAATGAGAAAAATTTTCTAACGAAAATCAAATAGAAACCGTAACTTCAGTAAAACATTAAATCAAATTTTATAATATATATTGCGTGAAAGAAACACAAACTTAAAAACCTTTAATAAATCAAAAATAAATCATGATGAGAATAAATGTAACTAATACATTATTTGCTAATACCACAAACTAACCTTTTTCTTTTAAGTTGCATAAAACTCATACGTCTAATTTTTACATTATGCATCCTACCTAAAAATCATTTTAATGATTAATAAATCAAATTCGAGTAACACGTTTATTCTTTCTTCTTTCATAGTTTCAATTCTTTTATTGAAGCTTAATTTTTTTAATGTGATAATTTTTGTAATAAAGTAATTATTTAATCGAAAATGCCCCAAAAAAGTTGGCCAACTTGTCCCGAGGGTGCGACAGATCTCGTAATGTACGAAAAGAATATTACAAATTTCAATCAATAAGTTAGAAGAATTTTCTATATTCATTTTCTATATTCATTATAATTTATTCTATTTTCATTATACTTAGTGATAGATTTTTATTGAGTTATTGGATTTCTTTGAAAAAGCAAAATTATTCATAATACATACAAAAAGTTTCATAATTTTTTTTTCTCAAAAAAAAAAAACACTCCTTTTTACTAAATCTGAATACAAGTATTCCACATCACTTGAATCTATCGTAATGTGCTTTGATGGTTATGTGGTTGATTTATTAATCTTAGACCAAATCACTACACATGCTAATTGGGTCCAGTACTACCTATTACTTGTTAATACGCGGACACTTTCAACATATAAGATTGTGACAATGTCACTTTGCTTTCAGACGTCTATACTATTAGGAGAAGATGTTGATGCTGAAGCAGAAGCGGTTTTAAATGAATTAAATCTAATATCGGAACACGAAGAATCGATTATTCACGTAGACATGGATGCTGATGAATGGAGTAAGTTTTTTCATATAATATCGAATCGTACCATCGATACTCCGGAATGTTATTGAATATTTGTTTGGTTTTTTGCACCAAGGTGCAATGCGTAGGGGAATGCAACAAGATTCAAGACGTCCTGGCGAGGAAGGTAGTTCGTCATTGGGCTTAGGAGAACTAGCACAATTGACTGTTAATAATGACGCTGAAGCGGCGTATGACGTAAGTTGAAGCGTCTCTTTTTGAAGCTATCAACTCTTCAGTTGTGAATTAACGATGCTTTTCATTCAAATAGATGACAACAAATAACGAAGAGCCATACAGGAAATCCTGGAATGCCAAGTACACGCTGCGTTCACACTTTGACGCTGTCAGAGCTCTGGTCTTTCATCCGACAGATCCTGTCCTGATTACTGCTAGTGATGATCATACGCTCAAGCTATGGAATCTTCATAAGACTGTTCCTGCTAAAAAGTAAACAACAACTTTAAATATTTTTTAGACTTGTCAGTGCACGAAGTTTTCATTCTAAAACCACCACTTTTTTTCCAGATCAGCGTCACTGGATGTCGAACCGTTATACACATTTAGGTCACACACAGGCCCAGTTTTGTGCTTAGCAATGGACAACACTGGCAGTCACTGTTTTAGCGGTGGACTAGACGGCAAAATACACTGTTGGACACTGCCGTCGGCCAACATAGATCCTTACGACTCGTATGATCCTAGTCTACTTAGTCAGACGCTCACTGGCCACACCGATTGTGTTTGGGGTTTAAGTATGTGTCATCCACGCTCGCAATTGTTATCGGTTAGTGCAGACGAAACCGTCAAACTGTGGAGTCCCGCGAGCAAAATACCACTCCTTCGTACTTACACATCCGAGACAGGTAGATACACTTTTTAAATTCATCAAAAATAGCAGTTTTGACAAAGGCAATACTTATAATAGTAATGTATATGCACTTACAGACAGACGTCCTACATCTGTAGATTTTATACGGGACGAACCGAATAAACTGGTCGTCGCCTATGAGCAAGCATGTGTAATATTTGATACAGAAACTGGCTCAGTTGTATCTAGATTAGATGGCGATGAAACGCAAGGTGTTAATCGACTCGTAGCTCATCCTATACTGCCATTGGTTGTAGCAGCCAATGAGGACCATCACATTCGTTTTTATGATCATCGTTCGGCTACCCTCGCACATGCAATGGTGGCACATTTGGACGCTGTTACTAGTCTTGCTGTAGATCCTAATGGTCTTTACCTACTTTCTGGAAGTGAGTGTTAATACAAATGACAGTTGATTGTTTTTGTTTTTGATGTTTTACATTAATGATAATTATTTTCCGTTCTCAGGTCACGATTGCAGTATAAGATTGTGGAATATGGATAACAAGACATGTGTCCAGGAGATAACAGCACACCGTAAAAAGTTTGATGAAAGTATTCTAGACGTAGCATTTCATCCTTCGCGGCCATTTATCGCAAGTGCTGGCGCCGATGCTCTCGCCAAAGTATTCGTGTGAATACCAAAATCAGATCAAAATTGTCTGGTCTGAGTCATTTAATGGTTTTTGTACTCATATTTTTTGTAGATTTACGTGTACGCATTACACTTCCAAATCCCGTTTTAAATTAAGATATTATTATTAATAGAAATAACTAATTAGAGAATACCTTATTAAATGTTCAGACACGCAGAATAAGGTACGATTATTGTATAATTTTCAAAATTAAAACTATTTCAAGTTAAGTCTTTTTGTTAATAAAAAATCATCACTTGTTGGTAGACATCCAGTGAATTTGCATATTACGAAGATACAATCTGCCATTCCTTGTGTAATAATAGCTAAATCAACCAATTAACATTTTTTGTTTTTTCTTCGTCGAGTTTAGCTACCATCTTATTGATATTATAATTTACGTGCATATGAACCTTAGTTGTGCCTTCGATTATTTTACAAAATAATAGTACAAACATTAGATATGCGAACCGAATTCTCAAAGATTTTTGTTGTACATTATCGAAATTCGAAACCCATACTGTACACAATTGCGCATTAACATTAGTTGGACATAAATGAAAAACTTTTGAGATTGAATCGTTTCTTGAATTTTATTTATTAAAAAGCTTACTTTTTTGTCCAGACGTAATATAGGACTCCATAATAAAAATTATATCAACTCATTTTGTAGAGCTATTGATTTTACACGATAATTCATATTTTCTACAATCTAACAAATACAAAATGTAATTACATACTTAAGTTGGTTAAATGTACAATTTAAATGATGAAATTGAATATATACTTAATGCAAAAATTTTATTCGATAACTGCCTCTGAGCGAGAAATTGTGAAAGGTTGGTCAAAAATGACAATAAACAAAAGAGGGTTAAATTAATTATAAAGTATACAGGTGATATAATTTCATTTTTGTGGTTATGACTATATAGAGGCTTAGATCAAGAAAGGTAAATTATATAATTTTTTATGTATACGCATGTAGTTATAAAATCTAATTTTTTGACGTTAATCATAGTTTACGAAGATCGAGGACAAATACACTGCCATCAGAAGCTGAAGCTCCAACTTTATCTCCCCTACTGTTCCAGCACACCTCGAAAATTCCTCCTGTTCCTTTGTAGCTATGCACTAGTTGACCATTCTGTGGAAATCAAATAAAATCTTTGAGTATACAAAGACAAACTTTTTATACTCAAAAATATCACCGTCTGATCATATAATTCCAATCGCATACCTGTGTAGACCATATGTGAACGTATTTATCGAAACTGCCACTAGCCAAGAATTTGCCATCAGGACTAAATGCTACGCTATATACTGGCTCGGTATGTTTTGTTAAAGTATAAATGCAAGTACCGCGATCGATGTCCCAAAGCCTCACTGTCGAATCGAATGATGCACTAACTAGGGTTAAGTTCATGTTCGGGTTTTGTGTGCCAGGTCCAGTAGGTGACCATTTAATCGTATAAATTTCTTTACTGTGCGCCTGCAGATCGTGTAGACACGCATCTTGTTTCATCGACCAGATTTTTAGCGTCATATCATCCGAACAACTGGCTAACAGGTTACCTTGAGGATCCCACTTAATAGCGTTTACTTCATTCTAAAATTCAATTTTTCAAATATAATTCGCCTTAAAATTTTTGTTCACGATGCCTGACTAAAACATGCACGCTTCTAATGTAGCAATACTACTAATAGTTATAAAGCGATAATTACCGTATGTCCATAAAAGCTCTTAATTGGTCTATCGACATGAAGTTTACAAACATGAATACATTGATCAGTCGAGCAGCTAGCGAAAGACGTATTTGTTTGCCAGTCGACATCTAGGGCAGGTGCTGAATGAAAACTGAATTGTTGAGTACATTGACCACTTGCAGCATCCCAAATAATTGTAGTTTTGTCAACTCCGGCACTGAGAATGTAATTGCCTTTCTTGTTCCATTTCAATGCGAAAATAGGACCTTTGTGCTGGCCTAATGTCGATGCTAATCTACCATCAGTTGTCCAGATACGAGCATATCCATCATAACTACCAGTGGCTAAGAGAGTGCCATCACACTAAAATAAATTGTATTAGTTGATGAGTCTTCATCAATAGTTACATAAATGATTCTTTTTACTAAGCTTACATTCCAATCCAAAGAGGTAACATCCTTATTACTAGGGACTTCAGTGCCACCTCTCTGTATACAATGTCTTAGAACTAGTTGATTGGGGGACTGAGAATTGTCAGACATATCCCATATTCGAGCTGTGCTATCACCAGAACCAGAAGCCAATAGGTCTGTGGTGGGATTCCAAGCGCAAATAAATACTTCTGACTCGTGTCCACAGAGTTTGGTAGCTTTGTTAGCTGGAATCTTGACAGAATTGGCATTGGGTCCAGTGCCTTGGCCTTGCTGTTGATCATCAACTTCCATTTCTGTTCTATCAGTCCCTTTTTCATTATTGCCAACTCCATCATTAAGGGGTACAGCTGTAAAATAGCAATTTTTATTGGCACATGTATCAATTAGAAATAGAAAATAGAAATTCCACTTCTTGGAAAAATTGTTATCTCTTGACAATCGAATTATTTTTATTTATATATGAGTGTTGGTTTCCAACTACATGACATGACAAAAGTGAATTTTCAAAATTTTTTTTAATGAACTTGAAAGTTAACGTTAAAGATGATAATGAAAAGTTTAAAAGAAAAAAAAAATTTTGAAATATTCCATGTCTAAATAGTTAAAACGTTTATTATACCTGGTTATAAAGGAGGTCAATAAAAATAAAAATTTTAATGACCAGGGTGTCCAGGATTTGAAAAGAAAATTCATAACATATGTAATAGTGTGCTATTAAATTAAAAAAATACCTTCTTCTCCATTTGTATCTTGGATTTCAGTTTTGAGTTGTTGTTTTTGTTGGTTTTGTTGATTTTGCTGATTTTGTCGAGATGCAACAATATCAGGCATAACAGCATCAATTAGCGATAATGATTCCACTATACGCTGTTCAGTACCATCCTCTCCAATTGATATTTCAGCTTCTGTATATAACAATCCTTTTTGGAGTACACATAAAAGTGCTGCAGGAGGCACTAAGGCACCATTAATGTTACTTTGGGATATATGTGACTCTATACCAAATGTGTATGCGGAGTGTTGGAATCCTGAATTATAAAAGAAAAGTTCTTTTAATCAATATATCTATATTTTTGTTTACAAGTGATTCTTCATTATTATTTATAAGTCATATTTTATATGAATAAAGAATTAATTCAAGCAAAAAAAATTGACAGCATGATACTTGTATTGATAACAATGCAGTAAAAAACAAATTCTACATTAAATAAAATTGATAAAAGATAAAGATAAATTTCGAACACTGTATGATTCACAAGAAACAAAAAAATATTATTATATAATTTTCACAATAGAAATCGATTGTTTATTACAATCAAACATTTTTAAGTCAAAACAATGATGAAGTTTGAGGTTATCTGAAAAGGCTACGCAATTTACCCGACTCTTGAAGGTATCTATAAACGAGAAAGTTGACTTCGTCACTGGAAAAACTCATTTTTCTATTCACTCAACTTGTCCTTTCAGAAATAAAACATAATTTCTTCCAAATTCCAAATTATAAGACTGACTCAGATACAAAAAATACAGCTATAGGCGTACAAATTCGAGAAGTTATACGTTGACTCAATTGGCTAACAAAACGCCCAATACTACCTATCAGGTCTATCTATACTCTACTCCTTTTTATTTTGCTCATACTCATAGTCAACGGCTACTTCAAGAAAATATCTTACGACGGTTCAAAAAGATGTAACGACAATTTATACTCAGCAGCAGCATTTACCAAAAAAATATTTTTCAAAAAGTTATAAAATGTTTTTATTTTTTTACGCGAAACCAACTATAGTTAAATAAGTTTCCAAGATTAACAAATAATCAAATTTAGCTTTTGCAAAAATTCACTCCAAATTTGCTAAAATTAAAAAAAGTGTATCAACTAAAAAAAAATTAATTTTAAATTTCATTGATTATAGCAATTACCTGATTAATTTTTTTTACATATTCAGTCAAAAATTGTAAAGTTTAAAGAATTTCAAATATTATTTTTAATCAAATGAACATATTTTTACGACTATTTATTTTGTCAAATTCTTTTAAGATATAACTAAAGTATATATTGATTGTACTTGTTAAAAATTATAGTTGCTAATGCATTTTAATAAAATTGAGAAATTATACAAAATTACTTACTATTAAAAAATACAACCAAGGAATCAATTTTTATATTTTTATTATATAAGATATATTTTACAGAACTAAAGTCTCTTGTAATTTCAGTTGTTTTTTGCTCTTAGCTTTAACCTGAGCAGCGATTCGGTCAAGATCTCTTCTCCCTTGGCTGGTCAACTTACGGCCACCAGTGGGGGTCTTCTCAATCAATTTGAGTTGCTCGAGACTCTGGAGTGTTTTACGGGCAACTCCTCCTGCTGATCTACAAAAGTGGCTGGGGTGAGTGCCATTGCGTTTGCGACCTCCAAAAATTTTTGTGACAGCTCCAACACCAATAGGACTACGAATGTAAATATGTCGAACAAGGGCTGCACATCTAACGTAGTACCAGTCAGGATCATAGGGAGCCAGTTCCTTGAACTTAGCAGACTTAACTATGTCAACCCACTCTGGAACCTTCATCTTGCCAGTCCTGGAAATAAATTCATTTTTAATTCGACTATCTCTTGATTTTGTAATTATAGCTGCTTGACTAGTTATCATTTCTTTAGTGCTTTCATAAACTAAAACAAAAATAATGTAATATAAAACAGAAAAAGTTAATGTATTACTAGAAATTTTTAAAATCTGGCGAGAGTTTCACAACTTAATTTGTTACAATTACTCGAATGTGTAATAGTAGTTAGTTACATACGAATGAGGTTAGGCACGAAAGAAAATTAAAAACTTACTTTTTCAAGAAAGCAGAAAATGCTTTGACGAATTTGTGCTGATCAACATCTTTCAAGGTGACAGACGGCATCTGAAAAATGCAAAAATATTATTAACAAATTAAATCTAAATAACACAAAATATGACAAAGCCACGTGAATAGGTTGCTCGTAAGCAAAAATCGTTCTTTAAAATTTTTTTTATTTCTATGAAATGCATAATAGATGTTTGGCCCTTAAACGAAAGAAATTATGTGAGATATATAACAAGTTTTTGTTGAAAATTACTTTTAATAGTAGCAAAACTGTCAACAATACGTCGCCAAAGACTTGTCGAACGGAAAAGGCTAAAAAGCAAGCAATTGAGCTACTACGTGGAACAAGGAAGTGAAATATTAACAGGTTATTTTTGAACTACACTTAGCTTACTTTGAATTCTACGCAATTTTAAATTCTATTTATTACAAATGAACAAATTTAATTGAAATGTTAAGTTCGCATTACATAGTCAAAATTATATTTAAAAAAATGTTAATACCCTATCACCATCACTGATAAAAACTTAAAATAAATAAAAATTCTGATTTTAGATAGTGGTCTTATTAATAATGAGTTCGTAATCTATAATAAAATAGCTAATAACTTGATTACAGGAGAGTCGGTGAATAAAAATTGAAATAACATAAATCCTTAATATTCCTTCTCCAATGAGGACTGCGAAGATAGCCCCCGGGTTTTCATGGGAAATTGTTAGCCAAAATCAACGGGAAATAGGGCAAAATCGCATTTTTCCGTTTACCTACTCACTATCTGATTTCTCCAGAAATTATTATTCGATTTTTATGGTTAAGGTCTTAAAATTAAGATTATAATTTCCCACGCCATCCCCCGTATTCACATTAATGCTAAATATTGTTAATTTTAAATAAAAATTCATAATAACATTGATGCCCCGAGTGGCGGGAAAACTGAAGCAGAGAGTATTATACCAATGAGTTGGTATTATACACGTCGTATAGACTTTAGTCGGTTTGAATTGTATTGTTGTTAAAAAATACAACATTCTATGTAATTAACTGCGTAATAAATAAATGGATATGAAAAAACAAGTTTATTATTTGCGAGTGTACATTATTTTATATTTCTCAAATTCTCTGTTTCTCGAGGCCAGCTTCCAAGTTGGGTAAGTGCGAGATGACGTTATCGAGACACTCGAGCTGCTGAGCGCAATATCTAAAAGTCCTATGGCATCGAAGGGTACCTATATAGAATTTAGCCTAATTATCAATGAGATCAAATATAGTGTTACAATTGCGCAAAAAGAGAAAAGAAAGAATTACTGACCAAATCGAACACAAGACATCGATGATAAATGTCATCGTAGATTTAATGACACGATAGGATTGGCAATGGTACCAAATTCACGGATTCCAAATTGAAGTTCAATTCGCCCAACTTATAGGTGTACTCTTTGTATGTACGAGTTTCAACACGTATATAAAATTTATTTAATATAAAATAAAATTACCTTCAGAACGATGATAAAATATTTGATTTGAAATAAATAAAAGTACCTAATACCTATAGCCAACTCCCCGACTACGCCGTGTATAATACACTCTGCTTCTTGGTCCATGAAACTTAGAAATACGGAATGAAACAGTTTTCCCGCCACTCGGGGCATCAATGTTATTATGAAATTTTATTTAAAATTAATAATATTTAGCATTAATGTGAATACGGGGGATGGCGTGGGAAATTATAATCTTAAGACCTCAACCGTAAAAATCGAATAATAATTTCTGGAGAAATCAGCTAGCGAGTAGGTAAACAGAAAAATGCGATTTTCCCCTATTTCCCGTTAATTAATCGTAAATGGGAAATTACCACGTACATCAGCGACAATTAGAGTAATTAATGCCGTTTTCCCTTTTTAGCTAACAATTTCCCATGAAAACCCGGGGGCTATCTTCGCAGTCCTTCTCCAATGTAGTACAACAAGAAAAAATACCAACAAGACAGCAAGCTATAGTCGTGGACTCCATAGACAACTTTTTTTTTTTTTTATTTAACGTCGCTCTATTTGTGCTCCATCAGTGCTAATCAGCGACGAAGGCTTGTAATGTGTTTGAGAACAAAGCACATGAAACTTTTTTCATGTGGTGCTTGTATCAATCAGCATTGGCGGGAATCGAACCCGGGCCTACCGGTGCGAGTCCATCGCCCTACCGACCGAGCCATTGCAGGCCTCTCCATAGACAACTGTACATACATTAGAAGAATAAGAAGTAGCATTAGCAAAAAATTGTACCACCAAAATAAATACAGTATATATCGCGCATCAGTCAAGGAAGAATCTGTTTTTATCTGAGCACTCAAGAAGCAATCGACAAACTCACGGACGAAAAAAATGGAAAAGTACTTTCCATAGGAAACTATAAATTACTTATCATTCTCTCGTTTCAAAAGCAAAAAGAATAATAATTTCAAATGCCCAGCCATGTATACCTACCATAATTATATAAAAAATGAATATGGTCATATCAGATCATATGTAAGTAACCAAACTTTTATAAAAATTTATAACAAATAACAGTGTTTATCTTATCAAAGCAATCAGCATTGTTTATTATAAATTTTTATAAAAGTTTGATTTCTTACATATGCTCTGACCATACGTCAGATCATATGTGAACAGTTTTATGCATCAGATCTTTCGTGAGAATAGAATACGAATCATTTTTATATATTTCTTATGTTGGATTTTGCATGAGAATAGGTTCAAGCATAAGCATATAATAATAATAATAGGAGGCGAAAACATTCTACGGGATCTAGCGATGTTTCTTACATTAGAACTGATGTAAAAATTTTTAGTAGGGATAGTGGGAGACTAACGCGTACAACACTGTATAGAATTACTCTTAACAGATAGGAACGGGGAGAGGCTTTCTGAGAGCATAGATAAACTAAGCGTACACTTATATAATAACAATACAATTACGCGATCCGACTTTTATAAAAATTTTCACTTAAATATAGATCTGTATTCTCAACTCAAAATATAGCAGCAAATATAAACGTAGAAGCTAAAAATAAGACATTCGATTCAGATTACTACCCGATTCTTTGTACCATAAACATTGAAAAATTTATATATATGTACGAAAATCATTCAAAATACATGCAGTCAAAACTATAATTGGGATCGTGTACAAACTCACATAGAAGAAAAATGCCAAAAATTGTTTTGTACCGAATACGATTTCAGTACTGCGCCAGAAAAATACGATACTTTTGTAGAAATTATAACAAAAGCCATTACCGAAAACACCCCCATAAAGAGAAACGCTAACGTAAACAAAACATAAGAATCTCACTCCTGAGAAATCTATCGCGATGCATTAGGTAATAAATATAGGACAACAGGCAAGGACCTACCATAGGAGTGGTATTAAGTCCGTTCTTGTATATAATATACGTATATAATATATTTGTATATAAAATATTTGTATACAAAACTTACAAAAAAAAAATAATAAACTCACAATTTGCCGATGACATCGCACTGTATTGCTACACGATTAAAAACTAGACTAGAAAGAGCAGTTAAAATATTCAAAGATGATTTAGCTGAACTATAGAATTGGAACTAGCCCGAAACGATTATAATAAATTTTAATAGATTCTAATTTTAATAAATTCTAATAAATTCTAATAAATTTTAATAGATTCTAATTTTAATAAATTCTAATAAATTCTAATAAATTTTAATAAAAACATAAGGCTAAGTCAAACACACATCGAGATTGATGGGCACACTATAAAGTCAAGGGAAACAGTAAAATTTCTTCCTAAATATAAGACTAACATAGACAAAATTGAAAAAATTCTATACTCTTGTGACGGCTAGCCATAACTTAGTTTTTTTTATATTTAATTATTAAATATGACGAACGGAGTGGGAACCTTCCTGATTTCCCACGATGAAAACGCATTCGAAATATAAACTTTGATAGTGGCCCGAGCCTGCGTACTCAAGCTTACAATCAACGCTCTATCCTGCTTTGTCCCACACGTATGTGTTGACAGGGGCCTACGATCATCGCGTATACATCGTGAAGTGTTATCACGCCGATAATGGAAGGGGACCATAAAAATGCAATCTATCTTTTTTTTTCCCACCGATTTTTAAGAAAATATCCGTAATATTAAATAGATTTTCATCAATTTTGTAAGCCATTATAATGCGCACCTTTTTGTCACCGAATAACCAATAAATAGAACAATAATGTATTTTATAATAAATCGTAAAAGGTTTGAATTTTTCTGAATGTTCATAATAGTCACTATGTATCGTCATAATTAATTAAGTTTAGTACAATTATGTATAAGTAATTATAAGCTATAGCGTTACTCTTGCTCTTAAAAGTGGCACTCCGAGAGCCATCTCTGGAGAAAAGGGCCCAAGTTAAAAAGGGACCGCCCTTTCTCTCTCTGAAAATTCACGCCCACAGACCAATAAAGAAATTCTGGATATGATTAGAAAATTTCCGACCAATACAAAATTTAGCCGTTATCGCTTCATGGGCCTGAGGAAAGGGATTTCCACCCAACCACCCACGGCTTATAAAAAGCTCTGTACAAGGCTGGAGAGGAAGTTAAGTGAAGTTAAGCTCAGTTCAGTCAGTTAAGTTAGAGGAAGTCAAGTTCAGATAGAGTAAGTGCGGAGTGAGCACCAGGAAGTCCGTAATAAGAAGTTTTTACTAGTGAGCGAGTCCCGGAGCAAGCATCAAATCACCCAACTATATTCAGAACATATAGAGAGAGAAAGAGGCCAAAGAGCAGAGAGAGAACGCAACATTAATAATAACTAAATTGATAAAATAAAAGTAAGTAAAATCTTAAACCTGGCTATCCTTTTCTTTCTTTAAGTAATCCGCCTTTCTTTTGGAAATTCATTAAGCGTGAGTCTGGTGAATTTCCATTAAAGTCCCTTAAGAACACATTAAGCGTGAGTCTGGTGTGTTCGTAATAACATTTGGTTATTACATTCCCCGTTAGCATACAGTTTTCTCAACGCAACAATATTGCTCGTCCCGGCTTGTGTGTTACACGATAGCCAAATCAGAGCAACCCTGAGTTTACGCTTGCTCCAAGCGTACCTGAGAGTGACCCCGACGTCACACTCTGCCATAAAATCAGCTATAGGCTACATACGGTTTACGCCTACTAACGGAATGATGCACGAATCAAAATAACAATTTATACAAGAGAGAGCAAAGCTTTTGTGTAGGTGTTTTCTAACAAAAACTCTCTTAAATTCAAATTCTAGTCTCTATGAATCCGTATACAAAATACACAATAACTATAAAAAAAATCTGTCAACGAAAGAAACCTAACAATGTTGCACGATTGTATTACCGAACTATTCAATGTCAAAAAATTAATTCCACAAAACTGCAATATATACTTTCGATATTATAACGTAACAAAAACCATGATTGATGTAAAAGTAGAACTAGGTGACACAATTAAGAAATCAAGCAACCCTAATAGATTAATAGAGAACTTTGTGAAATCAGACAGAGCTCACGCTATTTACATGGACGGCAGAAGACTATCGAATTCGAAAAACAGTACTGCATGCTTATGCCCAGAAATCGGTATAGAAATCACAAGAAATTTACCACACGTATCGATCTATATAGCTGAATGCAGTGCCCTTCGCGACACAATCGAAATTGCAAACATAAGACCTAACGAAAACTTCATTATTTTTCATTATATTTTTATTATATTTATCATTATAAAACTACCACAAAGATAGTATCAAACCTTGGGTTGCAAAACAAAACCTACAAAGAGAATTCATTGTCATAATAAATAGATGTAAAGCGAATCACTACAACTTACATGAATCCTTAAGCAGGATAAACATTATAACAAATTCTTTATGCGATTGTAATGAGTTCCCCGTAAACTTTAACCACCTCATATAACAATAACGAAAGAGAAGCTCTCAGAAGACGAAAAATACAATTACCATTACGCACAGAAGACGTAATAGTGCAACCGAATATAAAAGCTTGTAAATAAATTTTCATATTTCTCAAAAAATGTAACAAATATGTTTAATGCGAGAAAGTATAAACTATACTTTTGAAAGCTATTTAGAAATTATATATATGTAGATAAATGAAATATGTATACCATATAGTATATACATTTATGTATCCATAAAACGAATAACAAAACCATGTAATACAGATGTAAGCCTCGTACGAGGTTTGAAATACTTAAATCAAAAAAATTAAAAAAAAACTTGATTGTGGTTGTTTCTCAAAAGTTGTTACTACGCATAATAAGCAGCTGGCACGATTGTCTCGATCATAATAACATATTAACTAACTACGCAACTCTCAACTCGCAAGTGTACTTATTTTTATAAAAATAAAAATAAATTTTCCTCATTCATCACGTTAAAACGAAAAAAAAACGGGAAAAGTTACGAAAAAGAAAATTGTACAGGGGCGTGAAACTATATTACTAACTTGAAAATATAAATAATAATTATGATTACATGTATTATTATTTTCATTTTTAACTTAATCTATATTTTGTTATATTTTAAATTAGCATGTTTGGCTGTTGTTGGTGAGTGCAGCCACACTCGTCCCGGGTAGAGGAAGTGGCAGGGAATGCGCGGAAGATCACGCCAGACTCAAATTCTGCTTAGACACTGAAAAATCTTTATTCCTTCTTTCAAATGGCGCAGTACAGCGACGTGCGGAAGCTCGCCCGCGTCGGGGGCCGTGAGCGTCACAAACAGGGCAAGCCTGCTTGGAAAGAGCGACTGACGCTTGGCTGAGCGGACGATGATGTTCCTCGGCGGCGATGATGCGTCCTGTCGCGTCCTGGTAGCGGTTGTAGGCGATGACGAAGGCGTTCGGGTTGACGACGGACAGCAGTTCGATTGATACTCTTCTTATGTATTGCGATGGACGACCTTATATAGGCCGCCAGGTCGGAGTGTGATCGTATGAGCCGCTTAGGGATGACCAGACTAACTGGATTATCTGGCCATCATCCCCCTAAGCCTCGCCCCCTAATCCGGCTAATTCAAACCGGAGACGCCTCTCCCGCTGCTGACCCAGGCCCGCAGGTGGCGGCACCAACAGACTTGTGAATCTGACGCCCAAAAAAATTTTTTAATCATATTTTTGAGTTTTCATGAGCTAAAACGTTTTCTCCCTTTTTCTGGATTAAGTCTCCGCTTGAAATTTTATTTCCGGATTTTCCGTTTTTAAGAAAATTGCGAAAAAAATCGGGCGTTCGGACAGCGCGCAATATGCATTGAACATTTTTCTTCTGTTTAAAAAGAAATAATATCGATAGTGGATGATAGCTCCTTATTCCCGGATTACGAAACAATTTTCCTTTTGTCGATTTTCTATCCAAAATTGAGGAAAATGTAAAAATTAGTAATATGCGACAGTTAGTCGATAAAACAGGTCAAACATTTGTTAATCACCAGATATCCCTATATGAGTTCTATATGGATTCTCAGCACTGCACTGTACGCACTGTAGAACTCATATAGGGATATCTGGTGATTAGCAAATATTTGACCTGTTTTATCGACTAACTGCTGCACATTACTAATCTTTACATTTTCCTCAATTTTGGATAAAAAATCGACAAACGGAAAATTGTTTCGTAATCCGGGAATAAGGAGATATCATCCGCTATCGACATTATTTCTTTTTAAACAGGAGAAAAATGTTTAATGCACATTGCGCGCTGTCCGAACGCCCGATTTTTTTCGCAATTTTCTTAAAAACGGGAACTCCGGAAATAAAATTTCAAGCGGAGACTTAATCCAGAAAAAGGGAGAAAACGCTCATGAAAACTCAAAAATATGTTTAAAAAAACTTTTTGGGTGTCAGATTCACAAGTCTCATATAATAACGCATTTCAAATAAGCTTTCTCATTGCACTATTTTCTATTAAGTTTTTTACAGAACATTCGATGAAAAGGTAAATAAAATAACTATGTCAAAACAGTTGTATTTAGATAATATATGGACCCACATAAATTATGTACAGTTAAAGTTACTGAAATGATGAAAAGTTTCAAGTAGTAAAATAATAACTGTTCGAAACATTGTGTTTCTTCAAAGTTTTTTGTTTAGAGACCCTTAATTTTAGTTAATCACGGGTGTCAAATATAATTTGATCGGCTCAAAACATCGGAGTATAATGTCAGTTTGTAATTTGATATCTTTTGGAGACTTAGCACTTTTTATCTGCCATTTAGACAGGAATGAAGATAAGACAACTTTTAGTTCTAAAAAAGCAAATCTCTGACCTATGCAATTTCGTGGGCCAGCACTAAATGGTAAATATGAGTAAGGATGTCTGCCAATCATGTTGCTTGTTAAAAATCGGTCTGGATTAAAATCTAATGGGTTTTCCCACACACCATCATCGCGATGCAGATCGAATATATTGATAGTTAAGGAAGTCCCTGCTGGAATTTTATAGCCATCTTGAAAATTATATTTATGTTAATAAATTGCTTATGATTTTCGTTACTTCTAGTTATTTTAATATATATGAACCAAAAGAATCTATCTTACCAAATGTTACATCTTCAGATAAATCTCGAAAAATAAAAGGAGCACTTGGATAAAGTCGTAAAGTCTCTTTGATAACACAATCAAGGTATTTTAACTGCATCAGTTTTGTACCTACTGAATTGTAATTATCGCCATCAAAGACGTTACGCAGCTCTTTTCGAACGTTATTCTGAATTTCCGGTTCATTTCCAAGAGCAAAAAGTGTCCAACAGATTGCAGTGGCAGTCGTATCATGTCCCTGATCGATTCAAACAATAGATTTATTTATTTTCAGCTCTTTAGAAAAGTATCATTCGCGGTATGAATAAAAATGGATAATTAATATAAGTACACTTACCGCAAACGTGAATGTATCAACCTGTTCTCTTATTTCATCTACAGATAATGGTTGAGAATCGTTTTCGCTAGCTTCAAGTAATATATCTAAAAAGGCTTTACATTTTTTTTTACCTGCGAAAACTGACATTTAACTTTATTATACTGTATGTATAAGCGCAACAAAAAAATATATTGTATTCTTTTCTATCTACCAAAATCGTCATTTTCATTGTCATCGGTATTGTCAACAGGTAACGCATTTTTCTTTTTTGCTAGTTTCTCTGTTATTACCTGTAATAAAAATTATAACATAACGATTTTCTACAATATGTGAAATATATATGGTTTAGAAATCATTACTCCTGTGGTAAATTCGTGCATTATTTCTATAGTTTTTTTTAATTTTCGTCCATCTTTCGTTTTTGAGTAGAAAAAGTCCCACATATACCATGGTTTAATGTAACGATCTGATACTAAATTAGAAAATCTGTCAATTATAAAATTTAATTTTCAGCGATTTACATAAAATATACGATTTAATTAACAAGTGAAGATTCAACAAATACTCGTGAACAGCTTTGAAATATGCATCAGCCTTTTTTCGTTGCGCATCCATTTCGACACCCATCGCAGTTTCACAAATGATGTCTAGAGTGCATTTCGATATAAAATCAAATATTTCTACTGGCTCATTAGAATTATTAAATACATGGTTTTCAATACAATCATTCAAAATTTTTACTTTATCGTACATTAAATCTGTAAACTTTCCAAGAACACCGAAATAAAACGCAGGAGTCAGAAGTTTACGTTGATGAAACCATTTTTCACCTGCAAAATGTAACTTCATATTTTTTTATCTACAGTCTCGCGATAAGATGATAAAAATAAACTTAATCGTAACAGTACTTCAAACATTTGTAATCAATTATAAACAAATGAATTCCTACCGGTTGATGTCAAAAGTCCATTACCCAACCATGGAGTAACCAAATCATAAACAAATGACTTTTTGATATTTACTGTACTTGGGAGGATAGCCTTAAAAATGATCAATATAAATGTGATGAGCCTAAATACTACACAATCGCCATGAAATGATTAAACAGCCTCACCTCCATATGTCGAGGTTGTTGTAAATTTATAAATGGTCTTGGCCCAATCCACAATACAAAAATACTATTTTTATACTTGTTGGTGATATTTGAGAACCATTCTTGTTGATCTATAATTGAAAGTGTAAGATTGTTAATTATTTTATTTGTTAAATACTGGTTTGTTAATGTTCGGTAAAATTGTTTTAATCAATCAGTTAATTGCGTGATAACTATACTAAGATTATATTACGATTTTTTTAATAATTATAACTTACTACGACATTTTATAATTTAAAAACTTTCATTACTGATTTTAATAATTAAAAAAGATTAACATATAAGTTATACTTTGTTATCAGGAACATTACAATCATAATCGTTTAAATAAAGTCTTTTTCAAACGTTCGATTGCTTAAAATTTTAATATATTGAAATCGAATATTTGAAATGAGATAATGAGAAAGTAAATTCAGTTTGAACATATTTGTTGTTGTTGCATATCTACTGGAGAAGATATCTACTTTCGTGGAATCAGTAGATAGAGAAAACCATTCTAGAATATTACATTCGCCAAAAGAAAACAGTACGACTAAACGTAAACATATAATTTTTTAAAGATTATTTGGAGAAATGATTGGTCTATAGGAATTTTTTGAAATGACATAACCTTAAAAAATAATGTTATTTATAAAATGCTGACTCTGATATATGGTCTTTTATTGCATTAATATATTTAAGTGCTTTAAAACTAATTATATAATTATTTACCTTCAATCGGTACTTTCAAAAGATCCCAAGCAACTCCCAGAAATGGCATACCTGTTACACCAGGTATATTTCTAAATCGATAACGCATATAAAAATATTGTACTAAATATTTCACACATACTGCCGCAATTACAATGAGTAATATTTGAATTACACGTAAAAGTGTATTGATCATTATTTAAACATGTATTTCCACTATATGAATCTTAAACTTAAAAGTGTTATTATTACAAAAGTTTTAGTAGAACACTACACAATTTTGTGAATGTAAATAATAGTGCAAATCAAATTTCGTTATGAAATTGTATTGTAAATAAATAAAGATAAAATGCTATTTTAATTATATGCCTTTCCACAAAACACTGTAGTACGTAATGTATGTCTGTACATAGTGCACTGATGTGTGTCTGTGTGTGTTCTGCAAGAGTAATTGCAAAAATTGTCATCTATTTATGCGCCGTCTAGTGGCGCGCCGCAGCGGTAATAAGTATGTATATATACATTCTATTGCTTATTTCACATACGACATTGATTCGCACGCTTTCATTTACTTTTTCATTTCTTGTCATATAAATTAACATATTTAACGGTTACAATACACATATCATTGTGGAAAACTTGTATTAGTAAAACAGTTTCGCGTATTCTAATTTCATGAATTATCATATAAAAAACGGACATAAACAATCTCTATAGTTCTTTGCAGTCATATAGGTCAAATTATTATTGAACGTTTCTTCTACTCTTTTAATAATAGATTACGATATTACAACATTTTTTTTAATTTTACACGTTCAAATATAAGATTATCAGAACAATTCAAAAGCATAATAACTTCTCGTTTTAACCAAACGATTTACTCGCTGCTAGTTTTATAAAACGAGTGTAAAAATAATAACAATACAGCATACTTTTTTTATCTTCAAAATTATCTGTATCAATTATGATAAAATGAATTTTTATTACTAAAATCACAACTCGAAATTACATCGACATATTTGCTGCCATAACAGTATATCACGTGACTATATCTCAGTCAATAAGATCATGAATAAAATGCTTCAATATGGCACCCATTACTTTTTTATAAGAGGAATAATACTCCAAATACCTGATATAATCAAATTACAAATAATTTAATTATAAATTATATAAATCAAAACATAAACGTTATAACGTGACTCATACAAATAATCTGCATATTCAGTGCAAAAATAGTTTGAACATAATTACTTTTTATTTAGAATAAATTTTATAATTAATATCTTCGACTTTTTGCTTCTTTGAAGAGAAAACTTTGTTTTCGCGATTCTCAAAATTATTCTCTATTTCAGTTTAATTTTTTTGTTTCATTTTTTGTTCCATTTTCCTGTATATGTTTTATCACCTCGCATTTTTATTTTTACCTTCGATTATCAGTGATCGGCGATCGCAATGTTTTTGCGCAATTACAGTAATTACAGTATCTTTCATGTCGTTGACAATGCTTTAAAAAATGTTCGAGGTCAGGAAATGATTAGAAACTTAAGACCCCGGCCACATGTGTACACACGATTGCGGATAGACGCGCACGACTCCAAGGAAAGCTTTAGTGATATTTTTAATATCAAACTGTCAACGAAGTCACTGTTTTATAAATTTTAGCAAATAGTTGCGAACATACTTACTAAAAACTATATAAACAAATGAGATTAAATAACCTCAGAAATCAGAAAGGTTTACGTGTGCCTGAATACACCTTAATGTGTCTACTGCTATAAATCACTGATTATAGAGCTATCTATTAATGAAATCCTTAATATTCCTTTTAAAATTCTACAATAAGCTATATTCTTTGTGTGCGAGTATCCTGATAATTTATTATTCTTTTATATAGAATTTTAATCAGTTAATTTAGATAATTTTCCTTGGTGTACCTTGTACAGTTTTATTTTACGTTGTCGCGTAATTCAAAATTAATTTTAAGGTTATATTAAATGAGTGTATTTGGTTGTATTTCGCTAAAGTTTGATGTAGAGTGACTTTACTGTATACGTTGTCAACATCAAATATTACTAAGTTTTTCTAGTAATATTCTAGTAATACTTCTTCGGGCTAAGGGAAGTGGAAATATTTACAGTGATTAAAATATGTTTACACTTAAAGTTTATTAATACGTTAGAACAATTAACTCTTAATATATATATATTTTATTTCCAGAAATGTATAACATTAAGTTTTTTACATTACCCCCTCATACAATATCCCCATACATACAAAAACTTACAGAAATTTTACACAAATTACAAAAATTATAAAATTACAAAATTACAGCAATTACAGAAATTACAAAAATTACAAAAATTACAAAATAATGAAAATTGTTAAGAATATTAAAAATTACAAAAATTACATAAATTACATAAATTACAAAATTATAATAATTACAAAAAATTTACAAAAGTTTACAAAAGTTTTCATATAATGTATTTCATGCTTCATCCTCCATTGAATCCTCCTTCCTTGTATCTTCATCCTTCCGTTGCCCTGCGACTTCCCTCTTCTTCTTTCTCCCTGTTATCGTTCTTTCCTTTTCCGCACCAGCTCCTCAAATTGCTTCGCGTATTCACAAGTCCCTTTGTCAATCGGTCCCTTCAGAATCTTTTCCAGTCTCTCGATTAAAGCCTCCCCACTACTGTCCCCCCTCCATTTGTCCACTGCTTCCAGCCAATCTTTCTTTACCTTCCTTCTCGCTTCTTGATATACCCAAATATGTTGCAGGTCTTCCTCTTCGTCTTTACATAACCTACATCCCCTATCCTTAAACCCTTTTTCTCCCTCCAAGCTAATGCTTCCACATCTTATCCTTGCCCATTGCTCCTTCAGGTAGCCCGCTGTTCCCTTCTCCTGCCAATAATTTTCCAGTCCGATCACTACCTTCCATGTTCTGTAGTATTTCCAGTACCCTGATTTATCAATCCTGTTCCAGTTGTCTTGCAATTCCTGTTCCGCCAATATTTTCACTGCCATTTCTAATCTACCCAGCCATTCTTCGCTCCCCATGCCTTCCCATAACTACTCCAACGTTACTCCATCTCCTACCGATCTCATCGCTTCTTCCCAAGCCCTTCCCCATCTCGTAGGTTCTCTGTTGCTTATGGCCCTTAATTCTTCTCTCAAACAAATCTTAGGTAGTCTATTCTCTTCCATTCCCATTATCCTTGCTATGTAGCTCCCCACCCTCTTTAGGGTCTCCAACCTTAGGCTTCCTAGTCCCAACTCCATTCTCCATATGTAGTTAGGAGTGTTCCTATTTATCCCTAAGATCATCTTTCCCATTTTCGCTTGAATCCTTTCCATTACTTCTTGCTGATCCCAATTCCATATTTCCGCTCCGTATAAGCCCCCTGATTTTCCCATGACTTTCATCAAATGGAGTCTCTTCTTTATAGAACTTAGTCTTGCCCTTTTCATGATCCCCCATGCTACATCTAAAGCTTTCCTTGCCTTTTTCGCCATGTATTTAGTATGAGCTCCGTTTCCTCCCCTCTCTATGAACCAGTAACCCAAATATTTATATTCCTTGACCACTTCTAGTTCCTCCCCCCATATTTCCAGCACAAATTCTTCCCAATGATCCCTCCTCTTCTACACACCATAACCTTGGTCTTCTTGGTGTTAACTTCCATTCCATTCTTCCCGCTGTACCTCTCCATACTTTGAAGCATATCCTGTAACCCTTCTGGCGTATCCGCGACCATAAAAATGTCGTCCGCAAATTTCAGTACATAAATTTTAATATTCCCAATCACTGTGCCACCCTCCTTCTTCCTAACCCATTCCTTGTCTATGTCATCCAAGTACAGACCAAAAATTGTGGGGCTAACTGGGCACCCTTGTCTTACCCCTCTTTTTGTTCTATAACTATCTGAAATTCCGTCCCCAGTGATTATCTCACACTTCGTTTCTTTCTAAATTCTTTTTATCATTTCCAGCATCCTGCCATTTATCCCCTTCCTTTCTAATTTCTCTAACATGATTTCCCTGTCCACCATGTCAAAGACTTGTTTGAAGTCCATGAATGCCAAGTATAATCTGCCCCCTCCCTCTTTAATTTATTCCCTATTATACTGTTAAGGACGAAGATATGGTCTCTCGTGCTCCTCCCTTTCCTAAATCCCACCTGTGTCTCTTTCAGAACTTTGTTTTCCTCTATCCATGCCCTCAACCGAGTATCAATGATTCCAGCCATAATTTTATATCCAACGTCCAATAGTGATACCCCTCTATAGTTTTCTGCTCTTGACTCATCCCCTGCCTTATAAATCGGAAATATTCTTGTCTTTTTCCAACCTTCTATGATTTCCCCTTCCCTCCATAATTCACTGAGAATGTCAGTGAGCGTGTCTATACCTTTTTCCGGAAGGTTTTTGATAAATTCCCCAGTGATTCCGTCCTCCCCTGCTGCTTTGTTGTCCTTGAGCTTTCCTATTGTGTCAACCACCTCTTTCTTAGTTATGTTCTTGTTCAATGAGTCCTTCGGTTCCTCCTTCTCACTTGCGCCTTCCTTCCTTGCTCCTTCAAACGTGTCCCTCGCTCCTTTCCACTTCATTTCTTCCTCCCCATTTCTGTAGATCACTTCTTCTTCCAATTTCTCCTCAGGTTTAAAGTGTCTAATCCATTCGCTCTTCTTAATACCCTCACCCCTTCTCGTTCTTCTGGGTCTAAATGCCGCCAGTGCTTTCCAAAAATCCCCCCCCCCCCCTTCCTACTAATTTCCACTTCTCTCCACTTGTCCTCTGCAGCTTCCCTCCTCTTTTCTTTAATTATCCATTTCAATTTATTTCTTTCCTCCTTTAGTCTGCCTTTCTCAGTCTCCCCTTTCTCCACTAAGTACCTTTTTAGACATTTCCAAACTATCTTTCTTTGCAGCTTATATTCACCATCATATATTTTATTGCAAGTTTCTTTTCCACTTTTCCGTTGCTTCCCCTTATTCTTGCACATTCCTAGTTTTTTACCTACTGCCTCCATTTTATCGATTAATTTCTTCCACTTCGCCGCCGTGCTCATCCCCAACTTAGCATCCGCCCCCTCTTCCATTTCTTCAATATACTCTTCCTTCCTATCGTTCTTCCATCTGAAAATTTTGTCCTCTTCGTTGACCCTGCTTTCTTCCTCTGGTATTTCCTGCCCATCTCTCTCATAACCTAATTCAAAGTATAGTGGTAGGTGATCCGATTCCAATCTTTCAATCACCTTCATTTTTTTCACCAGAGATCTCTCCGCCTCCTCTTTTTCAATTATTAAATCAAGAACTAAGCCACTACCCTCACCCACATATGTTATCTCACCCTTCCATTCCCCTTCCGCTCTTCCATTCCTTACCCTGCAGTTTGTTTCCTTGCAAAAAGTCATCAATTTTTTCCCTTCCTTATTTAGTTTTTTATCTTCTGAATTCCTTTCCTCCTTCAAGTCCCCCTCCTCTTGAGCCTCCCCTATTCTCGCATTAAAGTCCCCTATAATCAAAATTCTTCTTTCATCTTCATTCTCGGTTTCAATCAGTTCCCTCATATCCTTTATCGCTAACTTCATCCCTCTGTTATTGTAAATTACTATTAAACTACACTTTCTCTCCCCTTCAACTTTCAGATTCCTGACTATCAGCCCACATGACCATTCTTCTATAGTAATCCCTTTAGCCATCCCTTTCCGTATTCCTAGAAGCACCCCTCCACTTGCTCTCCCCTTCTTTTTCGTTTTAACCGCTGCCTTTGCCCTCCATTCATATTTGGCGTCCATCTTCCTTAGCGTCCCTTCAAATTTCTCCTGCGTGATCCACGTTTCTTGTATCATAATAATGTCGTGTTTCTTCAGAAAGTCGACTTCTTTCCACACATTCTCCATCCCTGCTGCGTTCCAAGATACCCCACTAATCCCCCCTTGTCTCTCCTTCTGACATCCTTTAACGTAAGTTTTCAGTCATTTTCCTCTCTCAGACCTGCACAACTCGCTCTCTCTCTCCCTCCATTCGTACCAATCCCCTTCCACGTTTATTTTCATAAATCCGATCTTTGCTGTGTTCCCTCTCAACTTTTCCTCTTTCTCTATATTCAGTAGCCACTCCATCACCTCACATTCCCTAGACGTTAAGTCATCTTCAAGCATTAAATTCGTCTTCCTTAGTTTTCCCCTATCCCTCATTAAATCCAAATTATCCCCCATGCTACACATTGTCATGATCATCCCCTCCCTCGTGCATTCTACTTTCTAGACCCTTACCGGCCTCTGCATAAGTTCCTCCATTTTCTCCCTCATTCTTTTAATTACATCTCTTCCCCTTATCGCTGCCAGTCCCCTAACCTTGATATTCTGTTTTCTCGCAGCCCTTTCCTTTAACTCAAACTCCAACTCTCCCTTGGCCATCTTGTCCGGTTTAATGTTAAAGCTCCTTTCCCATACTCTCCATCCCCCCTTAGCTCTTCTTGAATCTATCGCTCTTCTGTCCCCCTCGCCTTCATTTGCCCTTTCTCCCATTTCTAACCAATCTTTAGCCTCCCCAGTGACCTGCTATGCCGTATTCCTCTCTTCGCCGATGTCCTTGATCCTTCCCTGTGTTGCTGCATTAGAGCGTCGTCCGTTCCCCTCCGTTTCCATTTCCCTATTAATTCTATTGCATAGTCTCATTTCCAAAATTTCTCTTTGTTTCCCTTCTTCCTCCAGCTTCGCCTTTAGCCTCTTTCTCTCAATATTGCTCCTCTCCAATTCCTGCATCACTTCAGACAACTTCCCCTCAACTACCCCGATCCTCTTCGAATTGTTCTCCTTTACTTTCTCCAATGTCTTCCATAACATTTTCTCCATTTTATCAAATTTTTTTGCGCAACTGTCGCATGATTTTTCTTCATTCCTCATATGTATCCCCTCTCCCCTCCTTTGGATAGTCCGTCCTACGTCTTTTGGCCTTTTCTCGTCACCTCTACTAAACACCATTGTCCCTCCGTCGATAAACTCTTCTATTCCGCTTTCGCTCTGCTCCCTCCCCGCCTTTTCGTCAAAATGCTCATCGCCTTCAGCTTCCTCTCCTTCGCTCTCCTCTCTTCGTTGTTTCTTGGCCCCCTCGTGTCCCTTTCCCCCTGTTGCCGCTTGCCGGCATGCTGCATCACTCTCCTCGTCCCCCTCTCTTAAGTTCCCTTCCTCACTTTCGTCATCTACCTTTTTTGTATCCCCTTTTATTATAAATTTATCCATACCTGCCGCATTCCTTTCCTTCTCGCACCTTAACTTCGACGGTCTACCTTGTCCTTGCTTTCCTATTTCTTGTCTTGAACGCTGATGACTCCTCGTCTCCTTCTCGCTGCTCTCCTCCATGCCTTTGAACAACACCTTCTTCCCGTTGATTCCTTCTCCGCGTCCTAACCTCTGACAGCACTCTGCACTTCAAGCGCCTGCCTTTTCCGCCACACTTTTCCTCTCACTCCACCTACACTCTCACTTGAACCTTCCCTTTTTCTGGACTGTTTCCTTCTACTTTTTACACTATCCCTTCGCTTCTACTTTAATTACTTTGTTTTCCGCACTCGCTACGGCACACACGGCCATCTTCCTTCTCAATTAACTTTTAATATATAAACAATTCAACGCGCACTTTAGTATTTATTAATTTCAGCTTACATAGCCCAGAAATAGACTTAGTTAAATTATACATTTTTCTTATTCCTATAAATATTTATATAAATAATTAAATATTTTATCGCTACATTTCACATTTATAAATTTATTTTATTACATTTTTCGATAATTTTTGCTTAATACTAGTACACAAAATCTCATTAGCTATTGTAATCTGTCTATTAAATATTTTATATCATCTCTTATGTTTTATCTTTTATGATACATATTTTTACCTATTTTTACATATTTTTACATATTTTTATCTATTTTACATATTTTTACATATTTTTACATATTTTTACACATTACTACATATTTCTACATATTTCTTCATATTTAACATATATTTCCCTTATATTACATAGATATTTATACATTTTTAAATATTTTACATGCCATTTCTACATATTTTGCCTCTGGTGCTAAAAGGCATTACATTATCCTAACATTTGTGTGATTTTTTATTCGTTTTCTAAATTTATACCTCGTTTATACCTGCATTCTTTTTCCAACTTTCTAATCCATTTTACTACCACATCGCTATTTTTTCCTTCCCAGATTTTTTCTACATCTTTAAATTCAATTTTTCGTGTATCCATTTCCCAATTTTTCGTTACCTCGCAATTTTCAATTAGGTGTTTTAATGTGCTTTTTTCTTTTCCACACAGGTCACATATTTTTTTCTCTTCGGTCTCCCAGTACTTATTTGCATTTTCTAAATTTCCACATCTCAGTCTTGCAATGTCTTTGTAGTTTCTGTATCCCTTAGTCAAGTATTCTGGTTTACCACTAATCATTATCTCTTTATACCTTTCATTATATCTCGACCTATATATTTTATTAGTTATGAATTGCCCTTGTATATTTATCTCTCTCTTTAGAATCTCTTCGTGTACTTCTTCTTGACTTGTCATGCTTTCTATTGCTATTGTACTTAATCCTATGCTATTTAAATAATTTTCTTTTTCTTTCATATATTCGTCTTCTAGTCCGCTTTCTCTTTTTTCGTTCCAGCACATTTTTATTAGTCTATTTTCATCTTTTTCTCTTATTCTTGTTTCAAATTTCAGTGCCCTAATGGCAAACCTTCCCTTCATTTTTTCACTATTGCTTTCTTTGTAAATCAAATATCTCGCCGTGCAAAAATCTAAGCCTAATGTCCATCTCCAATATGTCAACAGAGTTTCTTCTAATTCTTTTCTCTCTTCCCATCCCCAAATTTCCACCCCATATTCCATTACGCTTCTTACTAAATAATTAAATAACAACGTTCTCCTATTAATGTCATTTTTGAATGACATTAATAATTTATAATTTATAATTTATAATTTTTAATTTAATTTTTAATTTATAATTTATAATATATATTTATAAATATATATTTATATATATATATTTTATAATTATATATTTTTAATTTTCCTAATCCCCATACTTCTTTAGCTGCTGCCATACCCTTCTTTTTTAGTTCTTTTATGTGATCTCTGTAGTTTCCTTCTGAGTTGAATATAAAACCTAGGTACTTGAATTTCTTAACCTCTTCCATGTCACTTCCTTCATATTTCCAGCTTTCTTTTTTTTCATTTGTCTCTTATTTTCAAAACCCTTTTAAGCGTGTCCATCATATCCAAAAGTGCTTCTCTATTCAAGGCTAATAATACTAAATCATCAGCATAATCCAGACTCCAAATCCTAATATTACCTATTTTTATTCCCCCTATGTTTCTTTTTCTAAATTCATTTTCAAGTTCACTTATGTATAAACAAAATAATATTGGGCTCAACACACAACCTTGTCTCAACCCAAGACCTATCCAAAGGTCTTCGGTAAAGCCTTTATCAGTTCTAATTCTAGCTTTAGTTTCTTCGTACATTCCCTTCAGCCTTTCAATCAGATATTGACTAATTCCTATTTTTTCTAAAATTTCCCATAGCTTTTTCCTATTAATCGTATCGAAAGCCTTCTTTAGATCTATGAATAAGGCGTATAACTTTTGTTTTTTCTTTTTCGATCTCCTAATTAGATGGTCTAATACAAATATGTTGTCTAAGGTCGATCTTCCTTTCCTGAATCCGGCTTGACATTCTGGTAATAATTTTTTTTCTTCTACTTCATCAATAAGTCTTTTCCTAATTACTTCTGCGTATAATTTATACGCTGTCGGTAACAAGGTTAATCCTCTGTAGTTATCGGTATCATTGGCATCACCGTTCTTATATATCGTAACTATAACTCCCGTTTTCCAATGTTCCGGTATCTCTTCCCCGTCCCAGATCTTTCCGATTATCGCTACTAATTTGTTTATTATTTCAACACTCCCGTGTATCCATACCTCGTTTGGTATATCGTCCCATCCCGGTGCCTTTTTTTTCTTTAAGTTTTTCCATGCCAGTTTTATTTCTGTAGCCGTGATTCTTTTCCTATCAGTAATTTCAGATTCTAAAATTCGCTTTTCACCTAAAATTCTATTATTAGACCCTTTTAAAAGCTTTTCAAAATGATGTTTCCATTGTTCTAATGTAATTTCGTTTTTACCCATACCCTTTCTATTCTTCTTCCTAAATTTACCTATGTATTCCCATACTTGACCTTCTCTTTTCAAGTTTTTCAGTTCGTTTAATTGCTCATCCTTCCATTCAAGTTCTCTTTCCTTGCATTTTAATTTCCAGAGTTTCCTTGCCTCTAGATAATTTTCTTTTTCTACTTTACCTAATTTCCATTTTCCATATTCTCTTTTTGCTTTATTTTTTAGTTTTGAACAGTCTTTATTCCACCACGTTTTATAACCTAGTTTTCTTTTTTTTATAATCTTTTTTTCTACCTTTGTCCATGATTTTTCAATAATTTCTTTAGTATCTTTCCATCTAGTTTCAACACTATCCTCCTTTTTTTCTTCTATTTGATTGCACAGCTCCCTTGTTTTAGTTTTAAAATATGCAATTGTCTCGTCGTTCCAAATAATAACTTTTTTTGTTGCTTCAGGTTCTCTTTCTATTTTTTGGCTTTTTTCTAATATATTTTCTCCTTTTATTTCTAAAATTAGTGGTAAGTGGTCTGATTCTACACGTTCTTGGATTTCAAAATTTATATCCTTTTCCCATATTTCATCATTGACTAATATATAATCAATTACAGTGTCTCCCCTTGTGCCTATAAATGTGAATTCTCCTTCTCTGTCGCCTTCTGTATTTCCATTTAAAATTTTCCATCCCTTGTTTTCACTAAGGTCAATCAATTTTTCCCAGTTATTACTACACTTTTTATCCTTGCTTTTTCGGTGTACATATTCCCCACCTCTATCTAAGTCTAAGTATTTTCCCTCTTCACCTATCCTTATATTAAAATCTCCTCCTATAACTACTTTTTCTCTTTCTTTGTGTTCGAATTCGTCAAGTTTTCCTAGAATTTTTTCAGTGTTTTGCGAGTTATAAACTGACCATATTACGTATTTGTCTTTTTTATCTATAATCTCTGTTTTTACTAGCCCTTCTTCTACTTCTTCTATTTTTATGCATTCTTTTTTTACCCAGTTTTTCTTTATTCCTATAATGAAACCTCCTGCGGCCCTTCCTTTTTTATGTTTTTTTCTCGCATCTATTATTTCCCATTCAAAGTTTTCCGGGAGTATCGATTTCACCTTTTCTGCATTTTTATTTTCAATCCAAGTTTCCGTCAGGCTCACAAAATCATTTTCATCTATGTACCTCCAGAAATCCATGTCTTTACTAAATATCCCTGCCACGTTCCAAAACATTAACTTTTTCCTATTTTTCTGTTTTTCTTGTTTTTCATTTTGGCGTACCGTCTTTTTTCCTCTATCTATAGTCTCTTTTGTCCGAAATTTCTCTAGCTTTTTCATCGTCCTATTTGGTTTGTCGTTTGTTTTGTTTTTCTTCTCTGCAAAATATGATTTGCTTTTTACTATATACTCATCCCTACTTATTTTATCTACGAACCATTTCCGGGCTGTTCGAAATTTTCCCTGTTTTCACAACTATCTTGCTTTTCTATCCCTTGATCATTTTCTTTCCTAACTTTGTCTAATCTATTCATCTCTTTTTTTAATTCTTCGTATTCTATTTTTCTAATTTTTTCTTTCTCATCCCATTTTATCCATTGTCCCTCTACATTGATTCTACCTATTCCAATTCTAACATTGAGACCCTTACCTTTTCTTTCATATACCCATTTTTTTATTTCTTCTTGCTTCCTCCTTTCCTCATACGTCAGATCGTTTTCGATATATATAGTGGTGCCCTTTAATTTACTTTTATTCCTCATAATATTTTTTTTTACATCTTCATTTTCCAATTTAACTATAATCACTCTTTCTTTCCCACCGCTCACCCTTGCATTGACAGCTTTCATTGAAGTTCCCAGCTTGAAGCTTAAAAATTTTTCCACCCACCCTTTATAGTCGCCTTTTGATTCAGTGTTCTCGTTTTTTTCTATCGCTTCTATATGTTGATTAGCACCCTTTATAACAATATTGCATGCTCTTTCTAATTTATCCTTGTCATACATCATTTTTTTCATTTTCAACACTTCCCTATCAGTAAAACGTTCCGAGTTAACACTTACCCAGCTAGTCGCCCCACTGGTAGCGCTCACGCCGCTCGCCAAACTTCGTCTGCTCATGTGGCTTCTTCCGCTTTTCACACTCCTCGTCGATCCTTTATCCCCGTCTGTGCTGCCA